TGAGGTTGCTACATTCACAATGATGGAAGCAGGAGTCCATTCTTCATCATTGATATTGTATCTAGCAACATGAGAGAGTTCAGATAGGTAAGAGTCCATTTTACTTGATAAGCTGTCAGGTATTATGGCCTGCAACAGTGCATCTTCCTCTCTGCCTCCCAAACACCTGGCAAAACACCTTGCTAAGAAAACACCTGGCAAAAAAACTTAGCAAAAATTCGTCGCTGTGTATTATACGTAAAATACGTATAACACATAATACATGTAATACGTCAAATACGTACAACACATAATACATGTAATACGTATAATATTGTTCCACTTGTGTTATCTGTGTTGTACGTATAACTTGTTTAATACATATTAAAAATGTTATATGTGTAATACGTATAATCTGTAGAATACATAGTGAAAATGTTATACGTATAATACAACCGCGTGCGTTTCAGGGGCTCTCTGCTGATGGTAAATGGTAATACTATCTTTAGAGCATTCAAGACCGGGGTCACCCATAGCACAAAACCCAAATGGTTGGTGGCTTGACATACTCGCAGCAAGGCTATGCTTGCTCGAAAAAGAGAACCTCCTCGCACCTATTGTGATGTTATTGTGACGTCATTGATGATGTGGAAGCTTTGCCCTCTAAGTAAATTTGAATCCAATTAGTCAAATGGGTTTGGGTGGGCTGTTGCCCCTACGACTGTACCCAAACGGTTCCGATTTGGGTAAGCCACATCGATCCACATGGTGGCTAAACCCATTTGACTCAGTCGACTCATGGTCGGCCGGCGATACTCGATGCCAACCATTTGGGTTTTGTGCTATGGGTGACCCTGGTATTGAATGGTCTTACCGTACTATGATAGCTAGAGCTAGTATGGTAGCGTCAAGCGTCAGTGAGTGAAAAGTGTGTACCGGTACCGGTATAGTGTACGCGCCTCGTAACCACGTCTCGTATATTTAACCCCTTGCATGAGAAGAGAATTTAAGACTACTAGTACCAGTATACAGTAGAATGACCTTGAGAGAATTGCCTCCACTAGATCTAGCTAGCTCGTACTGGTACCTGTACGGTAAACCCTTGAGTACAAGAAAACCGCTACCGGTACGACGTACTTTACGCTACGAAAGGCCGATTTGTTCGTTGCGGTCCCGAGTGAGTGAAGCAGACAAATCTTCTGAACCAACATGTTAACAAACACAAGCTTCGTTACTAAGAGCCTTAAGAAGGTATATTCCTTTAATTCCTTCCGAGTTTTCCCACATAAGTCCATCGCGAGTTTAAAATATCATACTATTAATTAACACCACCTCCGTGGGTCTACCCCCACCAAAAATTATCCAAACGACCGAAAGGTCAAAATCAGCACCAGCAACAAAGGTGGGGATAGCAATATAAACTACAGCATCCTTTGGTAACTATATTAGAATAACTTTCTGCATGGTTGGTTCACTTGAAAATCTGAGTTGTGGTGTGTGGGGGTGGATCTAGATATCAAGCTCATGGCCTCCTTGCCACTATAGGTGGTCTTGCGAGAGGACAAGCAGTAGCTTCGTAGCCCAGGAGGCCCAAGAAATGTTGCCGACAACCAGCTTCGCTTCGTGGCTCAGGATTGTTGTCTGCAGGCAACGCATGCCGTCGTGTCGTCATCGATGGCTCTCTAGTCTCCCGCGGCAGCTGCGGTAATTCTTCTCTGTCGTATCACCGTCCAGCCGCAGGACTCCTCCAACAGGCAAAACGCCACCATCCCAGTCCATCGTCGTGCTGCATTCGCCGCTGCATTCGCCGCTGCATTCGCTGCATTCGCCGCTGCATTCGCCGCCTCCGTTGGACTGCAGAACCACAAACACTGGAATGCTACCGTAGAAGCCATCATGGTGTTTCTTCGTTTGCTCGAAAACTCGAAAAGCCGTTGCTTCTTTCCACGAGATAACAGCGGAAACGGTCCCTTCGCCGTTGTTTTCCCTGTTGGTATGACACTACTCCAGCCGCAACCTCAGAGTCGACAGCCGACAGTGGACTCCATGAACAGCCATCGGCATCGTCGTCGTGGTTCTGTCAACTACCGAGTTAACAAGAGACTTCTTTTATTGTGGAGCGGCGAGATAACAGCCACAACAGCCGCTAAACAGCAACCAAAAGGCTCCTTTCAGACCTTCAAAGCTCTCTACTTCTACCCCTGCTATGAGACCATCAGATAAGCTTTGGATACCATTGTGGCATGTCAAAAGTGGTTTCAATAGTAGTAGAAGTGAGTGGAAGTGTTTTGATGGCTATCCCCATGCTCCATGTTGACATGATTTTGGCATCGTCGGTCGTTTGGGTAAAATTTGGGTGGGGTGCACCCACGAATCCCGTGTTAATAGTACCCGTAGCGCTCGTCCCCACCCGATCGAGACGAAGAGAAAGACGAAGTGGTTGCATTGGAAATACATTTTTTGGGCTGCTGAAGTCCTGTGCCAAGTTATCTTGTCTGGAGCAGGAAAGCAGTGTTATGGTGCGAGAAAGAATACGGACTTGGCGCGAAAACAGACAACAACGTCTTGTGAGTGCTACTTCGTCCCATTTGACAATTCCAATGGACGTCGACGAGCGCATGATTGCCTCCTTCTTCCAGCACATTTGTATTGCATTCTGACCAGTTTTCCCCTTTTCGCTATGATTTATTGCCCACAATCAGGCCAACAAATCGCTCAAAAAGGATGAGAATTCGACGGTGAAGCTGGTTGATGATAGCACCAGTACATGCAACGAAGAAACGACTGACACGACGAAACTCAACAATGGACCGCCGCAGCAGCCACAACAGCAGCAGCAACAACAGAACAATGGTCGCCCGAGGCTTCGGGCCTTGGCCAACACTGGCAGAAATGCCCTCCAAGTTCTAAGACGGAATCGAAAGCAAAAGGAAGGTTTGCAGAATTCACAGCAACAATCAACAAAGCAACAAGAGCAGTCAGGAGATGAATCTGACAAAGACAATCCTGTCGCTGCTGCCAAAAAAGAAGAACCCAAGGTTTGTCCGCGCTTGACATTGACAGCTCTTCACGATGCATGTTCCAACAGATCCCAGGTTCAGGTTATCAAGTATCTGGTGGCCAAACATCCTGATGGTGCTGCTGCCGCCACCAAGGAAGGAAATTTACCTCTTCATACTGCTTGTGCTGGCAGGGCTTCTTCCTCGGTGGTGGAATTCCTATTAGAGGAATATTCCGAAGCAACTGGAGTACGCAACAAACGCTATAAACTACCCATACATGTCGCACTAGAGTCTGGCGCCTCACTGGCAGTCATAAAACTGCTGGCCAAGGCTGACCCAGACTCGCTCCAGGTGGCAGACTACGATATTGCCAGCCTACAATTCCAAAAGGTATGAGGATTAATATTGACGTTTCGATGTGCCGTGGGATGCAGATTCCAGAGGCCAGTGTGACTTGTGCATTGACAAAGTATTTGCTCTTGCCACCAACTTTCCAAAGCAGGTTTGGATTCAACATTGCGCAAATATATCCATGGGAAACAAAACCGGATTGCCACTCCATTATGCATGCAAACATTTGGCAAGTTTGCAGACTATTCACTTTCTCATTACCGAGTGTCCAGGTTAGTAGTTGCTGATTTGGTGTTCTTGTTTGTATGCAGCGCAACCAGTCCATCTCAACAATCAGCCATCGCGTCGCTCTTGCTATGGTAGATGCTGCCCGGACAAAAAACAAGGATGGCTGGTTGCCAATACACTACTCTTGTTCCCGAGGTGCACCACTCCAACATGTCCAGTACTTGATGACAGCATGTCCCAGCTCCCTGTATGAACGAACATTGCACTACTATGAGTATCCAATGCATCTGGCTGCTGGAAGATGCACTGCCAATATCAAGGTCGTCAAGTACATTCAGAGTAGACACTCCATTGCATGTACACAAACAAAACCAAACGAAGGACTCTACTTGACATACTATGACGAAGCTTGCTTACAGTCTGCCCCGGCAGCTGTGACTTGGTGAGATTATTCTGATTGAATCCGCCAATCATTCATCCCATGACTGTGCAAAGGTGCCCGAACAGACCAGGCCAGCTCATGTTTTGGGGTGTTTCTCTTTCTCCTCCATCTTAGGTTCCTTGCAGATGTATGCGCCAAAGCATCCAAGGGATATTCATTTCTAGCCGACGCGGAGGATCCCTACAACTAGATTGCTCTTTGGATCGTCATTCGGGCTGTCTCTCGTTATTGGCACTCTGATTTGAATTTTTATAAGTGCTTGCCACTGTCGAGCTTCCGATCATCTACTTCCATTCCAGAATGCGAAAAAGCAAACACAAACAACCCCAACATTTATCTGCGAAGCCACCTGTTGAGTTATTTTGATCGCAAGATCCCTTTAGCCTTGTAGTTCATGCATAAAGTGCATATTGTCGTGCAAGATGGATGGCTTCATGGCGTCTTTTGCGACTGATCCAGTTAGCTAGCTACGGTAGTATGACGACGACGGATATGGAACCGTACTGTACCAGAGCAGCAAAGAACTTTAGCTTTAGTGAAATCCCTCAACGTTCTCCGTTGCTCCTTTGCCGTTGGCAACTTATGGTACCGGTACGCACAATATCTTACAGCTGAGGATAAAAGATCCACCACCTCAGAAAACCTCAAAGCTCTTGGATGGTTGCGTGCAGATCGAGGGGCTACTATCCGGATAGCTATAGTCCGGCAACAGAGGACGATCGACTGCGAGAAGCACAAGTATTACTGGCAACAGTAGATTCTGAGCAGTGAAAATCGTTATCTGTTTGTCGCCATGGGTGTTATCAATGCCCTGCAATCACGCATTCGGCCACTGGTACGTATACAGACATGTTGTTCTACTGACTGATTAGTGAAAGGTTTCCGTGCGGTGTTGGGATTTGGGATAACTCATTTTCATTGCTTCTGTTGCACGAAGCGGCAGAGACGAGAGGCAAACCGCCAGCTTTATAGGGGTGATGTCTTTCTGAAAGATGAAGCTACGATTCTGGAGTATGTGCGCCGCCGTCCTAAATCCTGCTCCCGCAAATATATCTTCAAGGGCGAACGTGGGAAACGGTATCCGCTTCTTTTCCTCTGTTGCCAATCCAATGTTTCATTGGCTGTTGTCAAGGCTGTCCATGAAGCGTATCCAGAGGCCATGGCAGGAGCCCTGCACTACAGTCTGGTAAGTTGCAATGAAGCAAAACTCTTTTCTGTCGGTACGGATTCGTCTCACCAGCATACCGGTACGGTACGAGAATAGCGCAATCGACAAAAAAGCCTAGCAGTGATTCAATACCTACTCGAAAGCACGCCAGACAAGTGGTCCGAGGAGGAAAGTGGATATCTTCCTCTTCATACTGCCTTGCAAAACATGGCTGCATTGGACATTGTGCAGTACTTGATGAAGCAACACCCTAAAGCTGTCCAGATGCGGGAAACTAGTGCTAGGAGCCATAAGTTACCTCTCCACTTGGCTATCCAAAACTTTGCAACCCTGAACGTCATCAAGCTTTTGGTTTCAGCATATCCAAAGGCACTCAAAGAGGCAGATTATGAGACCACGGAAGTAGTAGAGGAAGAGGGGTGGTTGGTACATAAAGCGACATTTATGTTTGACGATGGTGTTGGCCTTCCGCTGCATGCTGCTTGCAAAGCCAAGAGACCACTCCAGACAATCCACTATCTTGTCAACCATTACCCCAATTCCGTGAGCACCAAGAATAGGGCCGGTGAGTCTAGGTCGCAGTAGTGTTTGAGTCAGTGTCTTTGGCAAGGGGCTAACGAAGTGTCGCAGGCTGGCTTCCACTTCACTTTGCATGTGCTTATGGAGCTCCACCCGTCATGATTGAATACTTGATTACGGCCTGTCCAGAGTCTCTGTTTGAACGAACGAACTACCTATTTACAGAGTACCCCACACATCTTGCAGCTGGGAGACCTGATGCTGACCTGGAAACCATCAAACTGCTCATCGGAAAACATCCCGTGGTTCCAAATGTCACACCAGACTCAAGTATATACTCCTCGTACATGGACGAATCCTATCTCCACGAAGCACATCCAATGGTGATCCGGTTCTTGAGAAGGGTAGTGGAAGCATCAGAATCTGGTTACGCCTACTTGCCGACGCAAGAAGAACGATTTTGGGCCACAACTGCGAGGGGGGGTGCAAACGAACACAAAGACGACCAGGAGGAGCAAGAGAAAGGCACCGAAACACACTCAACCGAAGACCTTCTTTTGTTGGGTCAAATCAAGTGATTCGCGGCACAGAGCTGGTTGGGAACAGATTGGGGTATCTGTGTGGTTTCTCTGTTCTCAGTGGTCAAACGGATTCCTCTGATCATAATCGCCACCATGCTTTCTTGTACGTCCAGGAAAGATGACAACTTACTTAGACCAGGAGGGATGTCAACATCGACCTGTTGGTTAAGTTTTGTTTCATTCGAGTACAGTCGTACTGGTATACAACGCATCCCTTTTTCTACCGAATTCATTCAACTTGAAGCATTCAAGGTGCTCATCAGAAGATATTCAACTCAACATCAACCTGTGGTGTGATTTTTTGTGTGTCCTTGTCTATAGCTTGTACTAGTAGCATAAAAGGTAGCTCACAACTTTTTTCTACTCTATCCATTCCATTTTTAAAACACCGAGCCCCGTCCCCAAGCTGCAACGGCACTGCCGGGGGAGGACAGCTCTTGGTACCACCGGTACCGGGTAGCATTGGCAAAGATTTGAGTTCAGGCTTTGGAATTGGAAAGTGGCCATTAAGATTGGGGATACCTTGGGCGAGGCAAAAATGACGCACCGATTGGGACGATTTGAAGATTCTCGAGAACCTGTTCTGTTGATGTTGATTGACAATTCACTGCGAATACCAGCAGGATTGGTGCTGGCAATTCAATAGCCCTACGTACAAACTGGAGGTATTGTTTTTTATGGGGAAAATTTCGGATTAACTAATTGTTAAATCGTAGTTCCTCTTCAATCCCACTTGGATGCGTTTTCTCTAATACCAACTTTTCCAAGTTTCATTCTTTCTGTGTGGAAGAAGCAGGTGACAGAATTACTCTAAAGAAGGACAGAGAAACTTACATGAGCAGGTGGCAATTGATACTTTTGAACAGGGCTGTAGAAAGTACCCAGTGTACTGATTCCTATGTAAACGTGAAGCTTTGCGCGGTACATGAAACTAAACTTTGGATGTCCTTGCCCTTAGTTTTAAAGCTTGTAGCAAAACCGCGTGGAATGTTGGGTGCACCGTTCAGGATCAATGTACATGTACATGTACAGTACTGCGTGTACCGGGACAGTACCATGTAGTTGTGTACGCCGACAGAAACCCAACTGAAGCGCAAGAAGCAGATTATTCGAAGCAGCTTGCTAGTAGCTGGCTAGACGGTCCGGTACCATGCATTGCTTTCATTCCTATCCTCTACCCCAGCTTGTTGTTTTACTAGTAGTTTGCTTCAAAGTAGAGCAACTGGGTTAGGTGTTACTAGTAGATGGAGTTGTGTATGAGAATGCATCCAAAGCAATTTGAAGGCCAAGTCGAGTTCTTGTAGTCGTGGAGGTTGACTTCCTTCAATAATTGCAGGTCTTGCCGAAGCTCTTGCTTGAAGAAACCGGTGATAAAATTTCTTGATTTGAATGCCAACGAATCTGATTCCTGATTACCGGTATGCTGATCTCGGTTGTGTAGCTCCGTGCTCTTTGCTGTTCCTTTTCTTACATCCGAGGACATGATCTTTGTTTTCCCTTCACAGGTGATCATTCCATTCCTACACACACCGCTGGCAAGATCTGAGACACCCCTTCAAGATCACTTGAATACCCTTTTCTCATCTCAACTATTTAAAAGTATTTGACCTGTTATTTTTGTAAAATTCGCTTGGGTACATCAAGTCAACCTGCTAGTATGATACAGACGATAACCTAACCGAGCCTTCTATCTACTATCTGAGGGCACATGGAATCATGGACTGGTTTGCAACTAGCAGACTTCCTCTGGAGGGAAGGGTAAACGGCCATCTTATACTGGTGCTATCTCACATATTATAGTCAGTGTTGGCTGGTACGGTATGTACAAGTGTAGCCTCTCAGTGCAAATTTGAAAGCCTGTCCGACTTTCCACTTACCAGGATTGTGACAAGCTTTAAACTGTACTAGCTACCAGGTAGTAGTGGTACTTTTGATTGGTTGGACGCTATGCTGGATCGATGGGCTACACAAGAGGCTGGGTACTGGTACCTGCAGGTTCCACGGGATGGCTTCACCACAAGCATCTAAATTAAAAATAATAAAATTATCAAAAATAATAAAATCTTGATAGATCACTTGTTTTATTGCATGTTGAGATCTTATCTTGGACGTTGTGTGAATCGAATCATGCCTACATGCCTACTTTAGGTTGATTTGGACATTTTGGACCGCAAATGGCTCCAAGACATCTCCGGCCCTGACGTGAGGGTCTTTTTCTGCAGAAAGCGAGAAGCGTCTATTACATCGTACCGGTAGCCAACCAGAAGCCAATCAAACCTCAGCGCATCCAGCGCAGCGCTCGAGACTCGACTCTCAAAGAGGGATATTGGAAGATTGAAAAAGTAGCAAAGTAAAGCACTCGAACGCACAAATTCGTTCGACGCCACATCGAAAAAACCAAGCGGTTACAACAGAGATCTTTCAGAGTAGTAGTATAGGAACCGACACGATGGCCGACAAAGATACATCTGCTACGAGCGACAAGGAAAAGCTCAGGACGCTAATGGATGCTGCTCTGGGGCTTGGTGGCGAGGAGTCGGAGTCAACGGAGCAGCTTCAAGAGGAGCAACCAGCACCCAAGTCTTCCCCAGAGACGCCTCAGAAGAAGCGGTATCTCCCCCCAACAAAGAGGCCGGATGCGGCGTATACCTTTCCTGAGAAAGTAAGTGGGGCCATATTCTCGTGGCGGTCTTCGTTTGATGATATGATCGTCATCTTGGGAGCTTGCATTTGGCGTGTCAGGGGCAGCGTCGCTTTCTACGATTGATAAATTTTTAATGTCTCGCGTGCCTGTAGATTCTGTACCACCTTGTACGTGCAAAGAGTACCACCATCTCATCTTTCGCCTCTTTTTTATTTCCACCTTTTCATCACCGATCCACTCCAACCAACATGATAGCTCATGAGCTTGATGCGATATGCTGAAGATCAAGCAGATGGGTTCTGCATTGCTTGGCTCCCTGACGGCAAGTCCTTTGTCATTCGCAACCCAGATGAGTTCACTCGTCACGTTGTACCCAAATTCTTCAAGGCCACCAAGTTTTCGAGCTTCACCCGAAAGCTCTATCGTTGGGGATTTCGGCAAGTGAACCGTGGTATTGGGCCTGATGATCCTATTATCTTTGGCAACGAGCATTTCCAGCGAGATAATGCCGAAGACATGTCCAAGATGCGATCCATCACCGCTGCCAGTAGCCGCAAGGCGGAGGCTCAGACCATCTATGGTGGAGGAAAGAGACCTCTCGAGGGACCGGAAGGACCGAACCACAAGCGAGCCTTGTTGGATCACTTGATCCAGCAAAAGGCTGTGATGATGAATACCAATCCCTCCATGTACGCTGGCCTGCAAGCTCCTGGTGGGGCCGTGAGCCTCACCAGCGCCCTCAGGCCTAGCCTGGGATTGGGTGTCTCTCATCATCATCACCACCATCAAAATCACTTTCAAGGGGGTCTTCCTGCTATGATGTCCAAGCACATGGACATGATGGGACAGCAGAACGGTAACAATCTCATGAATTCTTACATGCCACAGCATCAGAACCACGCAGGCAACCCAGCGGGACAGCAATACCCAAGCACGACTTCTACAGCTGATATTGTCAATGCTGCCATCTCTGCTTTGCGTTATGCCTCGTAAAGAGGAAAGCATCCACCCAACGATTCTACATTTTACATATTGAGGACTACTACTAGAGGAGGAGAAAATGGAAGCTGGAGAGAGGATATCTCTGGGATAGGTTTAAAAACTTTTAGAAAGCTTTTTGTTTGCATCATCGTGTGGGGTCTCGACTTCTCTATCTTGTAGTAAACGTTTCTAGCTAGCTAGCGAACTATTAAATTTACTAGCTCATCGTCTTCGCAGCTGATCTCTTGAATAGGGAATTTCGTTCGGATCCAGAAGTTGGAGTGCTGTGATACTGGATGCTTCGCTGTAGTAGTAGCAATAGATTGGATTCTTCTGAATCACTTCAAAGGGGCAATAATTTCCGCCAAACATGACGGCCACTGGTACCGTACCAGGTACTGCCCGAAGACTTCTGATTCCAAGAAGCTTGGCCGTACGAAGCAGCAATTCTCGGTGGATGATCAACAGCGGCAGCGTGATTTTGGCTTCTGACCAGTTCTCTCATCGTCTCATCCTCGACCACCAACAGCAAAAGCCTTCAAGGTGACATATCCATTGCGTCACCACAACGCAAACCGGCATCGCAACACAGTATGTTGTACCTACTACTGCATGTGGTACCAGGTAGCTAGCTAGTACCTCCAGAGAGCTGGTTAGTGAAGCGCCGCTGCTTCTGGCTAAATCAAAAGCTTGCTTATCCAGCCATGAGCCCAGGCCATGTACAGTGAATGGTGCGAAGGATTGAATGGTTGGTTTTGGTTGTTTTGGTTCGCCCTGCCAAAGGGCCAAGGGCGAGAAGCCCTTCTCTGGTACTACTATCAATACAGTGTGTAGCGGCAGTCTAGAAGACGAGTTCGAAGTTCCGAATGGTGCCATCCCAGAGAATATAGAAGGTAGAGCAGCTTGTCACTGTGTTCCATCGTGGCTGCTGTCACGGTCGCATTGGCTCCTCACTCCTCACCACCGGAAAGGAGCTACTAGCTAGTACTAGCTAGATCCAGCTAGTACTGTACACTGCATGTGCCGGTATATCCTCACCTGGCATTACTGGTACCAGCTAGTACATTTGTACCGTACAGCTGCACATGCCACACTATTTGTTTAGCTAGCAGATCTGCTAGTATTCACGTTTCGCCAAAGCTTGGATTGGGTGAGAAAGTTGCTCGGATAGTACGATAGCTAGAGAACGCGTTCCGCTTTCATTTGTATTATCAAACCATTTGGATGGCTTATTTGAAAAACAAGAAATCGACCGAGTGGCCACACAACAGCAGACAAGACAGTTTGGAAACCATGGCCCCAGCAACAGCAGCGGCTCCGTTTGCGTCTTCTGCGCCCCCAGCGAAAGCTGCCCGTCGTTCATCTGGAAAGGCGATGGGGCATTCCCGTTCCTACCCTCGAGGCGTGGGTCTTGATTTCCGCAAATTGGCTGGAGTAAGCTTGCTTGTTAACCCTCCGTCGACTTCGTGTCCCTTACTGTTGTCGTCAGTCTCACCTTTGGATGTTCTGTTCTTTTTCACCTCTTCCATCCAAAGTTGACCCTTCTTTCATACATTGACCATCATGTAAGTGAATAGTGAATACTGATGATCAGAAATAAATGGATACCGGTACCATTGGCCTGTTTGGTTCGCTGGGTACCAGGTACCGGTAGACCTGATGTTGGGTTTTTGGAGTCAAAAGCTAAACTCCTTTTATTATCTGATCGTCTTTTTCGACACAGGCGGTTTCTGTGCGCCCTGAAGCCCCTCCATCAGAATTGGCAGTGGCGGTCGCTCGTCACTTTGAAGGGATGGAAGTGGACGAGGAAGAATGCATTGGTGGATTTTTAGAGCGTTTGGAAAACGGAACCGGAGCAACCGAATACTCTCGAAAGACCGCCTACTTTGATGGCAGAATGCTTCAGTCTGCCGTGAGGAAGCGAAAGCGGACCAAGTTGGCAGCTCGTCCTGGTGAACAGGTGCGTACTCGTCTTTCAGCTTTACTCGTAACTGTCGACGGGTGCTGGAAGGCTCTTATTCTGACATCAATGATTTGTTGCCTTAGGTCGCTGCCAAGGTCACAAGGACCGATGAAAATGGCAGCTGGATTCTTGCTAGTGTCCAAAGGTTTTATTCGGAGCAGGACACCTACGATGTGCAGGATGAAGATGACACCAGCAAGCTGATCCGCTTGCCATGGTCTCATGTCATGCGCCTCTCAACTGGCGTGGAAGGGTGCTTCTCGAAGGGAACAGATTGCATGGCCATCTTCCCAGAAACGACATCGTTCTACCGAGCCAAAGTTAGCAAAGACCCTGTCTGGAAGCTTGATAGGTCGAGTTCTCCCGTTGTGAAGGAAATCATCGTCAAGTTTGAAGATGACGAAGACCAGCAAGGTCGCACTCCCCATCGACGTGTTCCCGCACGTTACGTCATTCCCATCCCCAACCAGTACTTCTACGATGAATCGGAGGATGTTGATCTCTCTCCGCTCCAAGGAAAGTAGGCAAAATGGTGCAGTTTGCGTGTCTTGGAAAGGGAGAATAATCCAAGCTTGGCCGACAAGAGTGGTGTTGAATGGATCGATCGATTTGTTAAATCGGATGTTACCGAATGATTGTGGTGGATGAGACTAGGACGAAAGGATTGTGACTTCGCTGTGAGGACCCGTCAGGAAACACAATACTAGTATGTGTGTTGTAGCTGAGATAAGGTCATTATAAGCTACTTGTCTGCAAAGTTAAGATGGATGGCCCGACTATGAATTGAATGCCTAAACTTGTACCAAGGAAGTTGGCAGCGTTTCCTCTGAAGCCCCGAACTATGCAGATTTACGGCATCTTTTTCATTTGGTCCATGGACACCAGCAAGTGTCTTGACATTACTAGTAGATTGATGAGAACCAAGCTTGTTGTGTAGTGATGTAATCCGATTCGATTAGGAATCTAATCTAAATCCATGACGTCGTCACCTTCCTCGTCGTCGCCGTCATCTTCGTCCGCCTCATATTCCATCGTTTCTCCTTCCTCCAAGTCAAAATCGTCCTCGTCCAGCATAGGATCGCCTTCTGGAGGTAGGTCTTCGCCCTCCATGTTCCACTCCTTTGCCATTTCTTCCATTCTAATTCTTCGCTGGCGTTCAATTTCTTTGAGCTCTTCCGGTGTCTTCGGCTTGTAGTCAGGGTTTTGTGCTCGATGTTCAGCCCTCCTTCGTTCACGTTCTGCTTTCCGTCCCTCCTTGCTCCCGTCATTGGCGTGAAATTGGCCGCCAGGTGTGCTGGAACCTCCAGAATCTTGTCGCTTTTGTTGATCCTGTTTGCGTTGTCGTTTGATCCTTTCTTCTTGGACTAGTTTCTTTGTCCTAGTTTTCACTAATGGGAGAGAAGATAGCTTTTTGGGCGTTGCACTTCCACCAGCTACACTTGCAAGTGTGTTCGAGAGAGTTCCATAGGACACGGATCCTTCCAACGGGACGATGCTGGTGATGAGACGGTCCTTTCCTGTCTCCGTTGATCCACTGACCTTTTTGAAGACTACAAATCGAGGTTGTTTTGTACTTTCGTCGTATTCCTCCAGTTGATCCTCCAAGTTTTTGACATAGAGAACACTGGAATCAATCGCAGTCAAGCTGATTTTTGGAAACTCCTTGACCAATTTGCCCATGGCATCTTTGAGCCAGTTGGGGGCTATTTTACCACCCTTCAAGAGTAGACCACACACGTCCTTTTCGAGACATTTTGCACGCAGGTCTTGTGTTGTTTCAATCTTTGCAGCTTTGGGTTCTAGAAGTGAGCGCAGTGCTTTGACAAGTTGTTTCCCAGTTTTCAAGTGCTTCACGGGAACCTTCCGGGGTAGAATTTGTGGGTAGAAGATAATTGAGTAATGTGATCCAACTGGAGTGATCTAAGACGAGGAACTAACTCACCTGTCGCGGCTCTCCAACGGCTCCCGAAACAAAGATTGTAGGCCTATCTTTGAGTTTCAACTTGAATCGATCAGCAATTGTTTTTTCAGAGGTTGGAAGGACGTAGTTGCAATCCACGAGACGAAAGTCTGCTGGGGCGCTTCCATCGTTGTGGGCGTCTTGGAAGACAGAAGAGACGGGGATATTGGAAGTCTCGTCATGGCACAACGAAGCATAGTTCTTTCCACTTCCAAGTTCGCCCAGCAGTACTTCTCTCAGTTGCATTTCATCCGTGACGTCTACTCGTAGAATCTTTTGAGCCGCGAAAAATGAAGGCAGCAGGAATCATTGTGAGCCAGTGGTAACAGAGAAGAAAATGACGACAAAAGCACCAGAGGCAGACTTACTTCTGAGTTGAGGCCCTTGAAGAATTGATACGCCAAAAGAGCGACACCCAGAGCTACGGCTGGTTTGATGTACTGATCCAGAGGCGGAGGCTTTTGCCTCGATGGATGCCTCGATTTGTCACTCTTTCCTTTGGCCATCTTTGATAAATTGCACTTAAAGTGCCGACAAATAATCAATACAAGCGGATGGATGGATTGCTATGGATGGTCAATTGTTCCTGCTGCCTTCGACTGATACGACCGGTTCTCGATGCTTCTGCTTGGCTTGTGGTGTGAGAAAAGCTTGTGGTGGCCGCTCATCATTGTGATGGCCACGGTTCAACGTGTCAAAGACGTACGTGTTTGAAGAGCTCGGAGCGTTTAAAACAGCAGGGCTGGTAAGGTCAATGTCGAGCGAGAAGACTTCGGGTCGGTAGGATCAAAAACACAAGGCAAATTCACGGGCTTGCCCTTGGTGGAACAGTACCTGGTACATGTACTTCAGGCTGTCATTGAATGCTCCATCTCGTGTGCAAGCCCCATTCACTTCTTCTGCCTCAGCTCCTCGCATCTCGATTGCAATGGAGCCAATTCACATTTGTCAGGTTTCTGGGAAACCCTCAGTTGCCTTCTTGGTGCTGCATGGCTTCATGGCTTCCTGGTGGTAGTAGATTCTGCAGTGCAAAAGCCTGGCTTTTGTATGCATCATAATAGAGTTTTTCTGGTGTAGCAAATCCTGATGAAGCCACTGTTGTTGTCAAATTTGAATGCTTATCTTTTCAATGGAGATGCACTTGGAGAGGCCAGCTGCTGAAACCTTTCTCTGACTGGGGTTGCCTTCTACCCAAAGGGAAACAACTCAAATTCCCTCATGGACTTGTCTGGATCCAGCAGTATTTCTTCCTTGACATGTGCCCTCAAAACAGCCACATGGTTGGCAGATGCAGATGCAGATGAAGATTTAGCTTGGGTTCTCGTTAGCGACCTTCCCTCCATCCGGACTGTTGGCATCGGGTATCAACAAATGGGCACTGTTGGCGCTGCAAACTAGGTTTTACAGAGACAACTACAATCTACAACCCCCATCTATTGTATACGCCGTTGTTCTTGCTTTGTCAACTAAATACTAGACAAAAAACGATGTGCCGAGACCGTCTCGTGTTTTAACATAACTGATTAAGAACTTCCAACAGCAACAAAGCGCTTCTTCGCAGCCTGTTTCTTTGTAATCTTCTTGCGTGTGTCGTCCTCCATTTTCTGGACACCACTATCTGCCTCTTTCAAGATGAGTTCAATATGGGCCGGTTGGCTAGCGTACTTTCCGATACGACCATGGGCACGGTAAGTCCTTCGCCTTCCTGCAGGAGCACGGTTGACCTGAGCGTGGTCAATGACCAAGTTGGCGGCATCAAGTCCCTTTGTTTCGGCGTTGGCAATAGCGTTCTTCAAAAGATCGCGGTAAACAGCCGTGGCCTTGACGGGCCAACGTCCCCTGTTACCGGGAGCCTTGACCTGCTTAGCCTGGGCGGTACCTCCGATACCTCCGGTGTATCGCACAAAGGGAATGACGGATTTGAAGGCCAAGACATCATCCAAGTGCTTCAAGGCCTTGTTGACGTTCATGCCCTTGGTGAAGTGAGCAATATTGCGGCAGTGCTTGAAATGCACACGGAGGTGGGAGCCTCGTGCCTTGGAGGTCTTCTCGGGAACATCGGGTTCGACACTGTAGCGCACCATTGTAGTACTAACGAAAGATAACACAAGAAGAATCGAAGACTGAGGTGAGATAGAAGAGACTTTGTATCGAAACAACGGCCTTACTGGATCGCAATCATTGTCTTACCTTTCTTCTTGGACTGCTGAACGCCTTGTTGTTGCGGCTGTCATCGAGGCCTCGATCCGGGACGGTGGCAAACAAGTAAAGCGGTAAGAGGAGAGTTGGTCGACTTGATTCACTATCAATTCAGTCCCTACTTGTACGTTTAGGGTTAGAGATGGCCTGTTAGAACGTTAAAACTGCTCTTCTTGATCACGTTCCGCACTTAAGCAAAGCGGGCGAAGCAATCCTGTTCACACTTTCGCAGAAATTGTTTTGGAGAGGAAGACCAAACTCATCGGCAACCCAGCTGAAAGCAACAATGGCAGGCGGAATCAATGAGGAACCGACAAGGATGAGAGGAATTCGTCGTTCATGGTTGGCAATTGGCGGAGTGGTTACGACTACGTTTCTGGGAGGTGTGAGAGGAGATTATGCCGATATTGGAGCCTCCAGTGTAGATGTGAATCCCCCGTCCCCAAAGTCAATATGGGAAGAATCCAGAGAACGAAGAGATGCGATACGACGAGAACGACGACAGAAGATCAAACAAATCAGAAACTTGCAGTTGATTGATGGAGATCAAGAAAACCAATCGGCATTCGATGAAACCTTTGAGCTTTTGTTTCGGGATTTCCAGTTCAGCATGAGCATGGAACCGGTAAGTACAGGGCGACTCTCTAGTAGAATCCCCAGTAAACTCGAATGATCGCTTGATTTATCTTACCATACATCTAACCAACCTTCTTTTTTTCCTTCTTCTCTTCATGGTCTTATGGCAGATTCCTACCAAACCACCAATAAGGCCGCCCATTCCGACACCTGTGGCATTCCCCACGCCTCGACCAACTATCAAATCGTCTACCGCTAATCCAACAAAAGGAGAGACAATCATTACTGATAGTCCTACCAACTCCCCTGTTCAGACCCCGAGACCCACAAAGAAGCCAACTACTAGACCAACCCCAAAACCAACTCCATTTTTCGCCTTTCCTACTCGCAAACCAACTGCACAGCCGATTACTTCAACTCCAACATTTGTTCCCACTGGCGAACCTGTCCCGGATCCCACACCTTTGCCAACATCAGATCCCACTCCCGGGCCATCACCTATATCCACCAATATGCCTGTTCCAGATCCTACTCCTAGGCCATCTCCAGACCCTACTCCTTTGCCCACAAAGCTACCTACTCCAAATCCTTCACCTGCTCCCACAAGAAGGCCAACACCAAACCCAACTCCCAATCCTACTGATGTGGATCCTGTCCTTCCACCAACAAATCCAATCGTCCCACCAACAAATTCAGTCACACCAAGGCCATCTCCCTTGCCTACAAATGATCCCACACCCTTGCCAACAACAAATCAACCAACACCTTCTCCAACAAATCAACCCACTCCTATACCTACTAATCCCCCAAGTCCTTCTCCAACAAATCCACCTAGTCCATTACCTACAACAAATCAACCAACACCTTCTCCAACAAATCAACCCAGTCCCTTGCCTACTCCTCAACCCACACCACAGCCAACAAATGCACCTGTTCCCTTGCCAACAACAAATCAACCCACACCTTCCCCAACAAATCAACCTAGTCCCTCCCCTACTCCTCAGCCCACGCCACAGCCAACAAATACACCGACTCCTCAACCAACAAATGCACCTACACCACAACCAACAAATGCACCAGTGGCACCTCCTTCTCCTGCACCAACTGACCCACCAAGCCCATCTCCAACTAGGTCGCCCACCAGGCGCCCTACTAGCGCACCATCTAGATTTCAAACTCCATCACCCAGTCGAGTGGCAACTTTATCACCTGTAGCCATTCCTTCAGCTGCACCAGTGAGAAGAGTTTGTGGTGGATTGACTCCACGAGAACGGCTTGCGGCTCTATTTGATATCGTTATCACAATTGCCGATCCTAATGTACTGAGAATCCCAACCAGCCCTCAGTTCATTGCATTTGAATGGCTTATCAATGATGATCCGGCCCAAGTTTGCCCCGATGATGAACAAGACGTACGGCAACGATACGTGGCTGCTTTGCTGTACTTTAGCACCGAAGGAGACACCTGGCTCAATTGCAACAGAGTCGACGCTCCCACGGTCAATCCTTGCTCTGCCCAAGACAATCAAGGGGACGCTCCTGAACGGTACTTGAGCGAAGAAGATGTCTGCAACTGGTTTGGGAGTGACTGCAACAATGCTGGGGACCTCATTAGGTTATCAATCGGTACGTACCGTAGTCGTTTGGGAACTGCCCACGAGGCATGTTGGACGTCCTGCCTTTGACTCACCTCGCATGTATCTAATCGGTACGATCCTTGTATGCCTTATTTGCAGACGAAAACAATTTGGACGGGACCCTCCCAAGTGAGCTTGCCGCGCTGACCAATCTCGTCTCCTTGGACTTTGATTCCAACCCTCAGCTCGGAGGACAGTTGCCAGACGAATTTGGCGATCTCAGACAACTAACTTCACTCGATATTGACAACAGCACCTTCAGTGGAACTCTCCCTGAGTCCCTGTTCAGTCTGACTGCTCTGGAGTCACTTGACATTAACTTAAACCGATTCACGGGCGGCATATCTTCCAGTATTGGTCAGCTGACAAATCTCAACGTTCTGCAAATAGACTCAAATGCGTTTCAAGGGACTGTGCCACCTGAACTTCTTGAGCTGGAGAATTTGAGTAAGTCAGACTGACCCTTTGCTTCATTCCTTCAAGGCAGTGGGTTACTAATTCGGTTCCTCTTTGCTTGCTTTTAGGTTTCTTCACGGCAGCTGACACCCAATTGACGGGCGAGATCCTTCCCTATTTTGAAGGCCGAACCAACCTTCAAGTGCTGGGGGTCGGCGAGAATTCGTTCACAGGTTCCATCCCAACCTTCTTTGGCGAATTTACGGATCTAGGTAAGATGGTGATAATCTGTCTGTCTGAATAAAAGTTATCGAGGTATGAAACAAGAGAGTTTCTCATCTTTTTGGCTTGTCCCCTTGCATATTATTATACATGTGAAGAGGTACTTTCTCTGCTGGGAAATGACTTTACAGGAACGATTCCAACTCAACTCGGAAACCTGAGTAAACTTCGTACGTTTCTCCTGGATGCCTCTTTCCCTGTTTCATATTGAAACGCTAGCTAACACTCTACTTGCTCTTGCCGATTTGACACAGAGGTGGTGTTTTTGCATTCAACACTGTTCACGGGTACAATGCCGAGTGCACTCTGTAACCTGCGAGTATCCGGACAGCTAACGCAACTAACGGCTGATTGTGCCGGTGCAAACCCTGCTGTTGAATGTCCGCAGCCATCCTGCTGCACTGCTTGTTTCCCATCACGGCTGCCTCAATAGATGTTTGTGAACATCGAAGTTCTCATTGTTAGCACGAGCCTACCGGTACTACTCATGATGAGGCTTGCGAATGCCCGCAATCCTCCTTCCCCGTCTCTCCGAACTTTCACTCCCTTCCCCCCGCCTCCCCACTTCTTGGGATCAGTTGCTGTACTATTGGTGCTGGTACCCATTCAACAAAGATGAATAAAGAATACTAGTTGTAATTGCATATCTGTAATAGAGCATATTTAATCAAAACAAAAAATAGAGGCTGTTCAGTCTACAAAGGTGGCGTGAACTTGTGTACTGGTGGTACCCCGCGCATTAATAACTTGGCTCCAAATTTAAAGATGACGATGAAACGATGCTCCAGACCACTTTTAGTCGTCACCTTCGGACAACTCGTCAAGAGCTGCAGCAGCATTGTTGTTCAGATTGCCATCAAAGAGTCCCCCGGCTCCAGGAGGCATGGATCCGTCTAGGTTCATGCCTGCGCCGCCCATCATAGCGTTCATCAAGTCGTTTGAGTCCATGTTTTTGTACATGTTGGCTGCCGCTTCCATGGCTTCCCGCCAAGCTACAGGATCATTGAGCAATTCTTCCATTCCCGGCATTCCAGCCATCATGGATTTGAGCATGGGATTTTGAAGAATCATTTGTCGCGATTGTTCTAATCTTTCTGGATCACTCATCATTTCCTGGATCATGGGTGAATTCATCATGTTTGACATCCTTCCGATATATGTTTTGGAGTTACACAAACAGGTTAGTAGATAATATGGAGATTGGCGGATGAAAACACAGCAAGAATCGAATCAACTGCTACCTTACATTTTCATGCTCTCCTCCATCGACGGCATTCCTTCCGAACCGCCCATACCTCCCATTAATTCGTCCAATTTGTCTGTGTCAACTCCTGCTTGTTTCATAAGGTCCTGCATGCTGCTTGTCGTGTCTGGAATCATACTCAGCTCATCTCCATCTTTGACTCCAACATCGCGCAGAAAAGCTGTTGGTTCCAATGGCTTTCCGCCAAAAACCACTTTTGGGCAGGTTGTCGAGTCAGCTCCACATTGTCTTTGAACTTCATTCTGTACGTCTTCGGCCGTATCGGCTTTCTCCACATCGTATTTCTTGCCAATGAATGTCACGTGAAGATTCTTCACTGGTTTAGGAGCGGCAACGACAAGGCTCTGAAAGAAAACAGGAATTGACAAAGAGAAAGTAAGTGAGAAGATCCTTTTGCGCCAAGTCTCAGCATCTAGTCTTGACCACACTCACGAGCAGCGCCCCAAGGAACAGCAGTTGGAATGGTAGCTTCATTCTGAACAAATTGTTGTATTGACTGATGATCTTTGTGGATGTGAGGATGCAGAGAAAGTGATCGATCGAGGTGATAGAGGTTTGAGATCGATCCGAGGTGACTGGCCTTGACACGAGACGAATGAGATGTCCTGACACGTGGAAGTTCATTTTCCTCGGTCTCCTTCCACGCTCAAAGCAATCAAAACATCAACACCAAGCCCCTCCTTAGCTTCTGGACCAATAACTAATCGCAAGGAGTCCTGTTGCATGGTGCAAAGCCGTAGCTCGTAAAGGACCTTCCTTCCCATCATTGCTGGTCGCCGGAAGAAGCAATTGTTACGGTACTAGACACCGGATGCTTTATCTTCCTGTGCAGATTCTCCCTGGTGGTTGCACCGAGAGCAAAGGGAGAAGGAGGTGAAAAGGAGGAATTAGGAGAATAATATGTACGTTTATGAGTTATAAATATCTCGTTTTGAGAGAAAAAGTCTTATCTTCCGTTCTAGTAGCAGAATGAGCAACATGGACAGGCAACATACGGAGGGGACGGGCGACCTGGAGCCCCAAGACAGTCTACAGTAAACACTTCCAAAGACTCGATGTTGCATATGCCATCAGGCACGGCCCCCGATAACTGATTGAATTGCATGGTTGCCACCTCTGAAAATGGATCACCGAAAGGGACAGACAGAGAAATGAGACGATGCTTCAGGAGAGTGATCTGAATTCTCCCCTTTAGAAAAGGCATTGGAAAGTACTTACCGAGCAGCAACAGGTTTGACAATTCGTCAGGAATTTGTCCCGTTAGGAAGTTGCTTTCTACTTGTATCAGGTTCAAGTTCACCAGTTGGCCGATTCTTGTACTAATCGTACCGCTCAGTTCGTTGTTGTTGATGTCAAACTGTTTCAGATTTGTCAAGTCGAATAGCTCGTCTGGTATTGGCCCCTGCAGCAGGTTGAAGTCCAAATCAAGTAGTTCCAGGTTCATCAGATTTCCTAGTTGTGTAGGGATGGTTCCTGCAATGGCCCCGATCTCCAGCAACAGGAACCTCAGTGATGACAGCTGCTCGAGCTCGTACGGCAGTCTTCCACCAACACCATTGTTTTCTAGAGTGCAGTTGGCAATGTTGACAGCGATCGTGAGTGTGATTTTAAAAGAAAGCTTTGCACGATGCAATGCCGGGGGTTTGCGCTTTGATGTTCTTACCCATGTCAATTCGTACAACATTGCCTTCCTCGTCGCAAGCAATACCACCCCAGTTGCATTCTGAAGCTCCCGACAACCAGGCATAGGAGTTGTCCTCCCTGGTTCCAGGCGCTGCCACTATAGTGCAAGCATCGTTGGCTTGAGCCACAGATTCCGGGTCGTCGAAATCCATGGGGGCGCTGCATTGGAACCACCGATTCCCTCTGGTGGAGTAGTAGTGAACGGCGAGAACATATCGCTGGATCAGGTTGGGAGCCTGAGGACAAAGAAAGGCCGGGTCTTCATTAAGCAGCCAGTTGTACGCCGAGTTCTGTGGCGTCCCAAGAGCATCGAGGGCATCCGAATCTGAAACTCGATTCAGGAAAATCTGGATGAGCAGTTCTCGAGTTTCTTGATTCAAGTTGCAGGCAATGCTTGGCAAGCTCGATGGAAATACCGAAGGTGCCTTTGAAGGCGGAATTGTTGGAGAGTTCGTTGGGAGTACAGTCGGTGCAATCGTTGGAGATACAGTTGGACCTGTGGTAGGCTCTATCGTGGGTGCTGTGGTCACTGAATGTCGATGAAGGCACAAGAGAAGAGTGAGTTGAACGACTCTGTTTCCGACCACGACGCAACGCCGGCGTATGTTTGTTCTTACCTGGCGCATCTACTGGGGCCGGCGTAGGCGGGTCTGTCGGAGGAGCAACTGGTGCTTCTGTGGGTGACTCTGTCTGGGGATCAGTTGGAGCGGCAACTGGCGGCAGCGTGGGAGCTTTACTTGGTGCACCAGTGGTAGGAGCAACTGTTGGTGAACCAGTAGGAGCTCCAGTTGGTACCCCAGTAGGCTCTGCAGTTGGAGCTGGGGTTGCAATGGTTGGTGTTAGAGTAGGCGACGACGTGGGTAGCACAGGAGCTTCTGTTGGAAAAACAGGTAGCACTGGGACATCTGTAATTGTGGGGTTCTGGCTGGGTTCAGCAGTTGGTGAGTTTGTTGGTCCAGCAGTAGGAGACCCTGTTGGAGACCCTGTGGGAGATCCTGTAGGAGATCCAGTGGGAGACACTGTTGGAGATCCTGTGGGAGACACTGTGGGAGACACTGTGGGTGATCCCGTAGGAGATCCTGTGGGGGCCTTTGTGGTGGGGGCCTCTGTGGGCGCCGCTGTAGGAGATTCTGTGGGGGCCCCCGTTGGAGATTCTGTAGGTGAAAAAGTTGGTTCTTCAGAGAAGCCTACTGATGGTGTAGAACTTGGGAGTAAAGTTGGTGATGCAGTTGGGTTCTCAGTGGGAGACTCTGTTGGCGAAATGGTTGGAGCTTGGGTTGGTGACAGTGTGGGTGTAATGGTTGGTGATTTGGTTGGTTCAACAGTGGGAGAACCTGTGGGAAGCTTTGTTGGCTTAGCAGTAGGAGAACCTGTGGGCTTTTTTGTTGGTTCAGCAGTAGGAGAAGCTGTGGGTGAAGCAGTGGGTACTTTGGTTGGAGTTGCTGTGGGATCTTTGGTGGGTGCACCTGTGGGAGCAACAGTGGGCTTTGGTGTTGGTTTACTTGTAGGCAGTTTGGTTGGTGACAGGGTGGGGGAATCTGTTGGCATTGTTGTTGGTGCAGTTGATGGTCTCTTTGTTGGCAAGAACGTAGGGCTTGCGGTTGGTGTCCCTGTTGGTGGCTGAGTGGGTTCGACAGTGGGACTCTTTGTTGGGCTAATAGTTGGTGATTTTGTGGGTGCAACTGGGGCAAATGTCGGTGTCCCAGTGGTAGGAGCCTTTGTTGGAGTTTTTGTGGGCGGGGCTACTGGGGCTTTAGTTGGCAATGGCTTTGTGACTGCTTCATCCTTCGTTGGACTAGCCGTTGGTACTGTCGTGTCATTTGACGGAGTCCCTGCTGGGGCCAAACTCTCCATACTCATGTCTACCAGCGGGAACTTTTCGAACCAATCATTGAGCTCCTGATCTAGTTCCGAGGCAACGGCCTTCGCCACCAGAACGGATTGGATGACCGGTTGCGATTTCCTTGCATTGCGCTTACCCATACCGAGCCGCCTACGATTCCGTCGAAGTGAGCTATGGAGGTGCTCTCTTTCTCCAAGAGCGCATTCTAGGTCGCCAAGGAGCACAGCCAGGAAGATGACTGCAGCGGTCGTTTCCTTCATCTTGAGCAACAACCTTCTTCTTCCATTCATTGACTCGACTCTATTAGGTTGTCCCTGGAGCTGCTGAGTGACAGGCAGAGGATTGCATTAACGGATCCTCTTTTCTTGAGTGGAAGGATAACACATGAAAGATCAGGGTGACTGCAGGTGGGAGAAGCCTCTTCTTCCTCTATGTATCCCTACTCTCGGTTTTTTGGTGAAACCATAGTACAGTAAGCATCTAGATATCGGTCGCTGATAATGGTAGCACTCCCATTGTATCGGTAATGGCATATATGAGGGGAGCAGCTTGTCGTCTCGCCTACGCCTAAGTACCTTCTGTTTGGCCGGCGAGGCAGCGACAAGGTCTAAGTACGCAAGAGGCAGCCCTCCAATCCAAGTGTCGCCTGCCTCCAATCATAAACCAGCCGAACTGTTTCATCCATGCATACTGAGTATCAGCATCCAACATGGTGTAAACATTGAACGAAGCAACTTCAACAGCACATCGATCATCGCCTCACTTTTGACAGATACTAGCTAGTAGATCACCGACAAGGCTAATACTTTTGGCATGCATACTGTTGGCAAGGCGAAGGCATGCATACTGTTGGTCTGTCTATATAGCACAACCTGAGACAAGCCTTTGCAGCTTCAGATCATTGAGTATCTGATCATACCGTATAATCCTGAGCTGGAGAATACCCCTCTGTGTCCACCACGTGTTCAAGGGGATCCGCCATCGGCATTTGGCAGATCCGAAGACGCATCTGCTGGTATACCCAACAAAAGGGAGAGCAAGTTGATCTTAGCCGGAGAACAGCTCAAAAATCAAAATGGAGACGAGACGGAAAAATTCCAAGATATCTTCCTATCAGATTTTATGGAGTTGCTTACTCATCGGCATGCTAGATCGGTTTTGCCTTGGCTGGACGCCACACTCACCACCACCACTGCTGCTGACGAGCTCACGAAATTGTAGAAGGAACAGCAATATATATCATCGAACATCAGCTTTCGAGAGATACCTTGGCCTTTTCTCATCAGTGGATGACGATGAATCTTCAGATGATGATATACCCCCACCAGAACCACCAGAGGTCACCCGACAACTCCCAGATCCCACGCCGCCATGTGTTATCAAAGTTTTGGGTGTTGGAGGCGGTGGTGGGAATGCTGTGAATCGAATGATCGAAACTCAAATTGAAGGTGTAAGCTTCTGGGCGATCAACACGGATGCTCAAGCCTTGTCCAAGTCTCGAGCTCCCAACGTTCTCAATATCGGTCGAGCCTTGACAAGAGGACTGGGCGCGGGAGGAGACCCAGTTATTGGAAAGAAAGCGGCACAAGAAAACTTGAAAGAACTGGAGCGCATTTGCAAGGGATCAGACATGGTGTTCATTACGGCTGGTAGGTTTTGCATGAACGGAACAGGGCCATTTATGCAGTTAATTCGCACTGTCTTATCATTTTTGGTTTCTTGCAACTCCAGGTATGGGGGGTGGAACGGGGAGTGGTGCAGCACCCATCCTGGCAGAAGTCGCCAAGGCAAATAATGCACTAACGGTTGGGGTGGTTACCAAGCCTTTTGCCTTTGAAGGAAGAAAGAGAATGGTGCAGGCAGAAGAGGCCATTGAAGCGTTACGAAAGCATGTTGATACTGTGATTGTAGTGTCTAATGACAAACTGCTTCGCATTGTGCCCGACAATACACCTGTGACTGATGCCTTTTTGGTAGCTGATGACATATTGCGACAAGGTGTTGTGGGAATCTCAGAAATCATTCTCAAGACTGGATTGGTCAATGTGGATTTTGCCGATGTGCGTGCCGTGATGAAAGATGCAGGAACTGCGTTGATGGGTGTGGGAACGGGCGTCGGTCGTAACCGTGCAGCAGATGCTGCCATTGCAGCAATCTCCAGTCCACTGCTAGACTTTCCCATTCAGAAATCGAAGCGAATTGTCTTCAATATTGTGGGCGGTGCCACCATGGGACTTCAGGAAATCAATGAAGCCAGTGAAGTCATTTACGAAAACGCTGATGACAATGCCAACATCATCTTTGGTGCTTTGGTGGATGAGACCATGGGAGAGGAGATCAGTATCACAGTGTTGGCCTGTGACTTTGAGGATTTGTCATTGCCCGATCAGAGTAAAGCCATGCAGGTTGGCAAAGACGAAAGCTCCAAGCCATCTGTGAGCCTGGTTCGAGATCCCAACTATTACAGAGAACGGAGGAAAAACACGCAAAGCCCGTTGGGTCCTGATGCCTCCCTGGAAGAGACTCGTGTTGCTATGACAAGAGGGTTTAAGAAACCTGGCGAGAGCTCGATGAAATCTTCAGAAGAGTACGACAACGAGAAACGACGAAGATTATGGGGTTTTCTTCGACGGTTTTCTCGCCGGAAAGACTAGCTAGCTAAAGAAGAAGCGACAGCTGCCCGCAAGGGCTACGACCAAGTTCAATCTGCGTAATGTAACAAAGAATAGTCATAAAAGCTACACTGTGTACCTCCCTTGCAAGTTACCGTATTGCTTTGTGCAAGCAAGGTTTTTTGTGTCTGTCTGTCTCACTCCAACCTGAAGAGAAATCTAATGGTGCAACGAGTACTAGCTAGCTAGTGTAGATAACCGTGAAACACAATGAATAAATGAAGTATCTATAACTTGAAATTGAATTTTGCCGACTTTAGCACGGTCGAAACATCTTGATCCCAAAACTCTTGATAGGACGTGATGAGACCACTACTAGGATCTCTTTTGAGAATGACTTTTCCCGTGAGTGCGACAGTGGGTCGCAAGGGTATACGAAATTGCAAGTCTTCATCGAATCGAAACTCCACAGCTTCATCCGAGACATTGATGTCTCCCACCAATCTGACTTGTGAGTTTTCTCCTACAAACAGTTTTTGTGTGCCCGTGATCCACTGATCCAGTTGGTAGGTGTCAATTTCATCCGTAAAGGTGGCACTTTCATCGTAGACGGATCTTGTGAGCTGGCCATTGCAGAGGTACTGCTTCTCCACCACATCCTTTTGGATAATCTCTTTCAACTTGTCGTTGGACAAGTTGAGGAGTTTTTCTTCTGCGGCATTAGTCTTGGTGGAATAAGGTGTAGTACCCACCAACAATCCCGCCGCTGCCGCCACCGAGCTGCCAAGAAATCGTCCACGAGAAACGGAGGGCTCCACGCTTTGAAGCCCAGTGACGGCTGCCACCAAGAAGAAGCATGAGAGGATTGTACCAACGAGCCGCATCATCTAAGACTGCGCTAGCTAGCTAATAGTATTGGAATGTGTATTACAGTATGCTGGTCGTCGATCGATCAGATCTGGCTCATCTGTCATCATCGTCGTCGAATTGGATCCGATCGGCTTTTGGACCACACGCACAATCGGATCTTTGCCTGGCATGGTCTGGAAGGCCTCTGCATACGACTGCGAGTCCCGGAGAGTCTCGCGCGACTTTCCAAACGACGTTCAGCGACCTGACGCGGCTTTGTCGTGTTGCTATGCAACGACTTCGAACGACTTTCAAAGTCGCGTGGAAAGTCGCATGCGACTTCCATGCGACTCGCAAGCCGTTTAGTCTCGTTTTGACGATTTTGGCAATACAAATCACGCACGAACGGGCCTTCCTGTGACAACGCCACTCCGCATTTTTAAAATATTTAGCTACTAGTAGGTATACGGTAATCCACCCACCAACGCCCTCGTAGCTCTGGTACACTTTCTACTGTAACAGGTTCTCAACGGTCGAAATCCTCGTGTTATTTAACTCGATAGGCCAATTCGGATTTCGAACTCTTACACATACGATTCGAATCGCCGGTAACGGCCTGATGTCAAGATCCAATCGTATTTTGCTACTAAAGCCTCTATAGTAAATGTTGCATGCGTCACTCATTTTCGAAAATCCATTGAATCGTGAGGCCGTTACTCAGAAATCCAGTTGCCGGGATAATTTACCGTAGAAAAACAGTGATTTCCCAACTCACCGATTCTGGAGATTTGTATAAGGGATGTCCTATCCGACGTTCGTTGGATTTTCAGAATCCGGTTTCAAGGATTTTTCAGCCATGTGGGTCCATTTCAGCGACCGTGTGTGTTGTCAACCTCTACATGTGCGTTGTTTCGTGGGATTGAGCTAACAAAGACCGTATCCAAAGCTGCAAGACAATTTCTCCACATTCTGAAACAAATTCTATTGGTATTCTATTGGTACGAGAAAATGGAATATGCACTTTGTTGCTATTTTACTGGTTGTTGTCTAACGGATGATAAAGACTGCGCCAACAGACGTATCCGGAACACAACAAATGAGAACCACTCCGAGAGTAAATTCGACCGATTGGATTCTTCATTTCCAGTCCATTCCTCATAAATTTCGAAGCACAACCTTAAAAAGCGATAGCTATGCCCCAATCTAAGCCCCATCCAACAAACTAATATCATTATCCGACACCATGGCGTTCATCCAAGATGAGGGCCGTTCGGTCCATTCGGTCCATTCTGATTGGCCGGAAAGAAGTTCCCATTTGCATCTCGAAACCACATCTGGGACTGCTGAGGAACATACTGCTGCTGCGGAGCGGGTTGCATCTGGGGAGCTGATGGATACACAAATTGTTGTTGCATCATCAAACCTTGCATCATGGCGGCTTGCTGCTGCATCGCAGCCATTTGACTCCACCCCATCGGCATTGGAATCGAGTATTGAGGCGGCTGTTGCATTTGCATGGGCACCAGTGGAGCTACTGCTGCTGGCTGATTGAACGTTTGATTTGCCGCAACTGGAACACTCGCACCCGGTGCCACCGCAACCGGAGCCACTGGAGCTGTTGCGACCGATTGATGAGATCCTGCCACGGAAACCATGGCGCCACCAATTCCAGCAGGGGCGGATGCGACACTTGCGGTCCCCGACATCATTCCCTGTGTTGCAACCGCTTGCGCCTGAGCCTGGACAAGCTCGAGCAATTGCTTCTTCGTCATCTTCTTCAACACCTTGTCATCGGGAAGGACGGATGGATCTTCGGTCAACAAGGACGTCTCTTCTTCATCTTCCGATGGTGGAGTCAAGATCTCCTCGGGTACTGATTTCTTCTTGGCAGACGCATTCTTCTTGGACTTGCTCGACTTTTTCCAAGACGCATCCTTTTCTTTTTGCGCTTGGCGCTTGGAGACTCGCTTTGCGCGGGGCTTACCGCCGCCATCATCGGATTCTTCCTCTGAAGCAGGTCTAGGAGGACGTGGATTTCCGTCTTCATCATCAGATTCCACGGCCAAGTCCTTATCAGAGCACATCAGTGCCTTGAGAGCAGTCGATCGACCTTCATCTACGAGACGGGCATAAGGAATCTGACTCTGTTCGCACTTGTGACGGGCGAATTTCAATCGAGCAGCCATCGGAACCCGAGCTTGATGCATCTTGGTGATTCCATAGGCACGAAGACCATGATTCGTGAACTTCTCAAGATTCGCGACACCAATGATTGTGCCAAGTTCCTTGGCCATCTTGGATACGGTATTGTGGCCAAGATTGTATTGAGCGGTATCACCCGACGGTTGGAACCAAATGTCACGATCCTTGTACCGGTTCAAGTGCACTTTGTGTTTGGTGAAATATTTCTTGTATTCCTTCTTCTGCCCTTCTGAGGCCACCTTGGCGAAGAATTTCTCGGCTTCTGGATGACACTTCGACAGATAAAAGTCGAAACACTTGAAAGCACACAGCGGATCTCGTGGATTCTCGACGATTTCCAACCAGCGATCTTTGTCCGAAAGAGCATTGGAATTGTAGAAATTCAGTCGATTGGTTTTGTCTTCGGGAAGTCGGATTGCCAAATGCATACAACCAGCCAGGTCACCCATTTCGCGAGTGTACATCCCAGAATACGTATCCTGCATCATGAGACTCGACATTTCCTTACCTCCTCGAAGAAGAAAAGATCGGCCAAGGTGGAACACACAGACACGTTGAAGATCTTTTGGATTCGTCCACGGTTGAAGTCCTCCGTCTTTGACAGCTTCGCGGATTTTCTTGTCCGCTTCCCAATCAATCTCCGAATGATGACTGCGAATCCCAAATGTTGGATCCGTCTTGCGGATTTCCGCCCAAAACTGAATCATGACTCCATGGAAATCTCCTTTGGCGTTGAAATCCTCCTTGAAGGTGTACTGAAATTTGTTGTGCGTCATGGTTCTCCACTCGGTGAATACATTGTTAATGTATTGTGTGAAGACGGTGGGGGAGAGAGGCTTGCCTTTGTTGGTACCGGACAAGCACAACCATTTCATTCCGCACAAGATGGCACAATAGTTGAGGATTTTATGTTTGTTGCGATCTTTTTCTCCGCATACCACGTTGAAGAAAGCATAATTGGTTGAGTGGCCGTGGTCGTAATCGACGGGAACAATCTCAAGAAGACTGCTCAAGACGGATCCTCCATGCTCGCGGATTGTCTCGAAGAATCGCTTTTGAAGGCTCTCACATTTCTTCTCCTACTTTCTGCCGCGTCTTCCTTGGTCCTTGCACTCTTCTAGAAGCTTTTGTTCTTTCTCTGTCAAGTCCAAGGTGGTAAAATCTCGACCAACACCAAGAGCACTGGCAATTTCAGCAGCATTTTTGGGTGGATTTTCTTGTGTTGGAGTTGGATTTTGGGGAGACAATGAGACTCTGGCTGGAGCTGGTGCGGGGGGACCAAAGTCAATGTTGGACCGAAAGGCAAGAAGATTTTCCACAACCACACTGGTTCCTTGAGTCATGACAGGACGACGGGGTTCGTCCTCATACAGGTGGCCATCTTCCGATTCCTCTTCCTCTTCCTCTTCGGCTTGGACTGTGACTGCGGCTTCTTCCTCTTCTGCTTGGAACGTGACTTCGGCTTCTTCCTCATCCTCATCCTCATCCTCGCTACTGCTGCTACTGGTGTCTACGGGTGGAAGCGTGAAGTCATTGTCGGCAAGTGGGTTACCGCGATCCTCTGTCACTTCTTCTGCCATTTCTTGGGCGGACGACGCGGAAGACATGGTGACTACCAGTGACTACTAGTACTCCTGTACTCTCTAACAGTAGGGCTTATTTACTCGGGCTTTTGTCGAGTAGATTACAGACAAAGACCTCCCGCCTCATTGACGGCTTTGATCTTGATCTGATGTCTCGGCTGTCGGATTTTTGCCCTTGGGCTTCGCCCTCGTGCAAAAATCCTCCAGCCTCGACTGGATCCACGATCTCCACGATCTCAGCCTAAAATCCGCTGGCTCGCGCTCTCGCGACGAATCGTGTCGGCTGCGCCTCCAAGAATTCTTGCGATCGCGCGCGCCATTGGATTTTCAATTTGCCGGGACGTTTTTCTACAGGATCATTCAGTCCCTTATTCGAAGAACTTTCGTTTGAATTCCAAAGTTCTTGGTTGCGAACCCAGAACCCCGAAGCTCGTCGACGGGTGGTCCCTGTTGCTCGGAAGATCTTGGTTTGGGTTCCGCCGTTTTTGTTGCTTCTGGATGCCAAGTGCCAAGACAAGGAAGTTCTTCTGCCAATGCTTTGCTCTTGTTCTGTCCATAAGACCACTCCATCCTTTTGGAACATCATAGTTTGATTTACTTTTCCAAAACAACACCATGAGGCACTTTGTTTCCGCTACTAGTACTCTCTTCCTATCCTTCATTGGAACTTCCGACGCATTTTTGTTTGGTCCGACCAGAAACCCTCGGTCGCATACACATCTTTATCAAACACACCATGAGGTCGAAGATTATCGAGAAGGGATCCATGGTTCTCGCAATACCAAGGATGAGGGGGTCACAGAGGTGGTCATGAAATTTGGAGGAAGCTCCTTGGCTGATGCTACCCGTGTGGATCATGTAGCCAACCTCATCAAAGATCAAATCCAAGAAGGGTACAGACCCAGAGCCGTTGTTTGTTCTGCCATGGGAAAAACTACCAATGCCTTGTTGGCTGCTGGAGACTTTGCTCTCGGTAAGCACAGAATGCAATCACATTTGTTTGTCAGTGGGTATGATACATTGATTGCCTTGAGTACGACAAACTAACATCGAAGTTTTCCACCCGAACTAATGACTTACTTATTCCATAAAAAGACGGCAAAGTCTGTCTCGATGCAACTCGGGAACTGCACATGCAAACAATGGATGAATTCAAGATATCAGATAGCACCAGAGAAGAAGTCAACGCATTGCTCAAGGAATGTGAAAATATGCTCACTGGGGTATCACTCATCCAAGAACTCTCTCCGAAGTCGCTGGACCAACTAGTGAGCTATGGGGAACGATGCAGCGTTAGAATCATGGCGGAAAGGTTGAATCAAATTGGAGTCCCAGCCAAAGCCTTTGATGCGTGGGATGTGGGAATTGTCACAGACAGTGACTTTGGTGATGCCAAACTACTGCCCGAATCCAGCGGACTGGTCCGAAGAGCATTTGAAAGTCTTGACCCCAATGTCGTGGCTGTTGTGACTGGTTTTATTGGACACAGTCCTGAAGCAAAAATCACCACTCTGGGCCGTGGAGGATCTGACCTGACCGCAACGCAAATTGGTGCTGCCATGGATCTTGATGAGATTCAATGCTGGAAAGATGTCGATGGGATCCTTAGTACAGATCCGAGGCTTGTCAAAGCAGCAGTTCCCGTCAAACACGTCACTTTTCAAGAAGGTAAGTGGCAAAGAGAGAAACAGAAGATCACAAAGTGATTTATTTTGACTGACATATCTGCTGACCGCTCCAACTACAAAACCCAAAAGCGAGTGAACTGAGCTACTTTGGTGCCAGGTAAGCAAAACACATTCTTTGACAGCTACCGGTATTGGGCTGTGCAATTTCCAAGTCTGACTTTTGGCTTTTCTTTCAAACAAAAGCGTATTGCATCCCATCGCCATGCAACCAGCCATGCAAAGCAACGTTCCCGTTAGAGTCAAGAATTCATACAATCCTAGTGCAGAAGGAACAATCATCTCAAATGCCAAAACGGCAACAAACCTCGTGACCGCGTTGACATTCAAACGGGACGTCAAGGTTCTTGACATTTACTCTACCAAAATGTTGGGCGCTTATGGATTCCTCGCACGCGTATTTGGAGACTTTGAAAAGCACAAGTTGTCCGTCGATGTTCTGGCAAGTTCAGAGGTATCAGTATCACTCACATTGGACAAGAAACAGAAAATGGACTCGATCCGAGAACTAGTCAAGGACATGTCACCATATGCCGACGTGACACTGACGGAGAGAAGGTCCATCTTGACCTTGATTGCCGATGTGAAACGTAGTTCTGAGGTGCTGGCTACGGTCTTCCAGGTTTTCGCCGAGCTTGGCATCTCAGTCAAAATGATGAGTCAAGGGGCTTCCAAGGTGAACATTTCATTTATCCTGAGAGATGACCAGCTCGATACTGCTGTCCAAGAGCTGCACAAGTGCTTCTTTGAAGGCAACTGCATTGTTAACACTGTCAGTCCTTATGTGGAAATGATGAAGGAAGAAACTGTTTAAAAGTGGGCAACTACAATGGAATTCTAGTCTTCACGTTAGAGTCTCAGGGCATGATTAATCTCAAGAAGACAGTCCGACCTCGCTGCTAGCTAGCTAGGTGTCTGTCTGGTGTGGAGAGGAAAGGCTTGTGTTGGTACAAAAGAGCACTAATTATTGCTCCGGGGGTTGATGAATCGACCCACGACAACCGCAGAAGCCGCATTCAGTTGCTGACGGGAGGTGTAGCGTGACTCGAGCAACGCTGCTTTTCTGATTGTCGTCTAGTGTGATCCCGTAGCAGGTAGACCCAAGAGTTGCTTCACAATGTCATAGATGACGAGTTGGCTGGTAATGATGAGCCCAACATGAACGATTCGAGCCCCGGTTCCGGTGAAGAAGGCTGGAACACCGCCTTGTGAGTTGATCTTGCTGACTACTTGACCAAATGAGAGCTGTTTGCCTGGTTCGACCTTTCTGTATGTCTCCGTAAGAATCATATCGCCAGGTTGAGAGAAGATGCAGGCAAACAGGGATGCCACAAAAGCTGCGCAAACACTGACAATGATCTTTTTGTTGTCTGTGAGGAAGGCCAAATTGTCGCCATAGTTGTGTATCAGGGAGTAGAACACTCCGGCAAAGACGTCGAATGACACCTGCTTTCCAAATGTATAGGGGACCTGCAAATGGATCCAAGAGCATGAATGATAATGTGTGTATTGCATGGATGCTTGCTATCGCTAGTTGCGTCCATTGGGACAGAACGTACCTGCTTTGCCAACATGGCCCAAATACCAGAAAACGTGGACAAGAGTCCCTCCTCTTTGATCAGCTTTGGCAATCCAGTCAAAAGCCCTTTGTCGGCGTAGTCCTTGTCCGTGACAATTCGAATCCTGGTACTCTCCATTGGGCACAAGAGCACAGCTGCAACAGCGCCAGCAACTATGGATGCCAACAGGAAGGCAACTCCTTTGACGTTGGGATTGTCGACGCCACCAAGAAGAGATGAAAATATTGGCTTCATGACTTCGTACACTCCAAACTGCCAAGCGGATACATGCAGAAACAGGGAGAATTTAACAAGTTCAAGATACACCAGATTGACAAAAAATCAACTAAAACGCCTTACCTTCATGGCTCCCTCGATCCCATAGCCTGCAATTAATTATGAAGAACCTCAGTGAGTCAATACTCAGCTCCTGCTGAAATGCTCCAGAGCAGTTCACTCTTTTAAAAAGACATACCTGCAACTGTTGGACCCAATCCAGCCAGGAGGACCTGTGGGCCATCTGATTTGCAAATCTTGAGAGTCGCATCCACAAGACCCTTATCATACACCTTTCAATGACAAACAAAAGTTGACTGATGAGAAACCAAATGTATCAGAACCAAAGATATTGTCATGATAATTATTTGTCAATGGTACCTACTTTTGGCTCAGCCTGTATACGTGTCTGATGATACCGGTAGCATGCAACCAACAAGAAAAAGTTGAGGAAGACGAATGGTTTACAACAAAAAGCTGGCTTCAGTGGCTTGCCGATCTCACCTTGATAACATCTATGGTCAGAGAGGTGTGAAGGGCACAAAAAGAACTTCATTTTGTTAGAGAATCTGGGCTGTCATGCAGAGACAGTTTTGCGCAGTCTCAATCTTTAGTTGTAAACCAACCACTCGAATCTATCTGCAGTTGTACCTACCAATAGGGCAAGTAACTCCATGACTGAACGCTGCACACGTTCCTCCAGCCACAAAATAGCGATAGTCAATTGACTTGAGTGAATTCAGGGCAGCACTTGTGGCTGCTGACCCGTGGGCAATTTCGGGAGCCCCGACCAACGCCAGCGTACATGTCAAAGATGAAAGGATTCTCATGGCGATGTCAGATAGCTTAGGTTGTTCTCTCTGCTACAGAAATGATAATGTGCAATCACACCCGTCACACTCCAATCGCGAAGATCCAAGTGCCAATAGCCAGCTGGAAGTCAATCCTAGCTAGTAGCTAGTCTGAAATCTGTCTCTCTACAAAACCAGCTATCAAACGGAAGCGAATCGAATCGAATCTTCCAACATCGTCGGCATCACTGGAGGATCCGATGCATCACAGAGTTGACACCAACACTAAACAGCTGTGGGAATACACATCGCTCGGTGTCATCTTCCACGTGGAGCTGGTAGGGCTTTCAATATTGCGAATAGATGGGGGGCGCTGGTTGGTAGGTACTAGCTAGTACCGATAGCTATCTAGATTCCAGCTCTTTTAGATAGCATACCGTAGTGCTATGACATACCCACAGCACCCATTATGTACAACGTGGGCCTGCTGGTGCATGGTGGAGTACTTAGTTAGAACGGTAGTACCAATTCTAAGGAGCGAGAAGAGGACAAGGCAAAAGTTGAAACCGGGTTCGGCGGGATGGTTGGTGAGGGCCCAAGTGATGATGGAGTCTGCGGGGTCCACGGAGGCATCATTCAGTGTGCGGCCTTCGGACAACTAAATCAATGGGTAGCCCTTTCTCAATGCAGAACATCCTTTCGGAGTACGGTAGGATCATTGCGTCTTACCAGCATTGAGAGTGGTGGCAAGGCGTCGTTACAAATCAAGAGCACCAAGTAAGTCTTTTGTTTGAATGATTGAAATGCACTCTTCGGCACACTACCGTACCGGTAGCTTGCAAATAGTGCAGTACTGTGCTGTATGCAGCTCCGTACCGTATAACTTTCTGAAGAGGAAATTAGGGCAGGTACTCTACCGGTAGCTAGCTAGCTATTATACATGTAGTAGACAGTCTACTGTACCGTACGTAAGGTTGGATGATTTTTCGGGTTCTCAGACCTCCACCCACACAACCTCTTACAGCCTTGCTGCATTTTTGGAGTCCGGAACGGACATCCAACGCGTGACATCAAGAAGATCTACTACTAGCTAGTAGTACGGTGGCTCTAGCTAGAGCACCACAATGCTAATCCATCTACATGAACAACATCTTGTAATATATATAACTATCTCTCTCGGTACCAGTAGCTAACTAGCGAGAGGCAGCTGACTGAGAGACTGAGTAGTGACTTCTCTCTAGCTAGAATGTTTGAGCGCTACTTGACGGATGTTCTGACGAAGCAATTTGGGCATTTGCTGGAGGATGTGGATCCCTCCAAGCTCAGTCTCTCAGCGTGGAATGGAAGTCTCGTGTTGGAGGACGTCTTTCTTCGACCGGACGCACTTGACTCGTTTGTGGCTCACTGTCCACTCGAAGTGGCCTTTGGAAGAGTAGGGAGACTAGAGCTGCAAGTTCCTTGGTCCTTGGTGGGTTCTCAGTTGTGGAGCCGAAAAACAACCAAAAGCAATGCTACCGGATCTCACAAAGAACCACAAGATCCGTCATTGGAGAATGGAAAGTGCGTCTCCATTGTCCTTAGCGACGTCAATATTCTGCTTACACCACGACGAAAAACTCAAAATGCCTCGGATGAAGCAACAACCAACGAAAATGACGACAATTCCGTGGAAACCACTGAAAAAATGAGAGAACGAAAAGAACGGATTGTGCAAGAAATGATCGACGCACAGTTACTGTCCAGAGTGGCTCTCTCCTCGCAAAAGACATCACGATGGAAATGGGTTCAAGATTGGATCTCGAGCCTCCTTTCCAAAATATCAATCACGTCGAAAAACATTCACATTCGATACGAGGATCCTGGACACTCCATGGGATTTGTGTGGAACAACGCTGAATCAAAAACAACTAGACGGAGACGCTACCGAAAGCCATTTGCAATTGGAATCACTCTACGAGAATTCAATGTTACCAATAGATCGGGAAAGGAGGAAAGACCACCTGAAATTGCCAATAGCAGTTCTGGCAGCGGATTGGAAGCAACGCAAACCGATCTTACATCGGCCAATGACGGTGAAACGTCAATGCAATCTTCATTATCGGGTGATCCAATTCAGCATGATGATGTTGGCGACCAAGAAGAAAAAGAGAAAGAAAGCATGTTGGAAGTGACAACCACTGTGGCCTCGGCTGTAAAGGTGGCAATCTACTGGGACTCCAATGGATGCACCCTGGTATCTGAACAAACAGCCGCCAAAGAAGGAAATCCTGCAAGCACAAAACGTCTGAGGCGACAATACGTCAACTCGGCATTTTCGGTTTTAAACGGAGGAAACTCCATCGATGATGAATCCTTTCTTGACGGGGTTCACTACAGCCGTCCGCATACGTATCTGTTGGATCCAACGTCTCCGTCCGTGCAGTTCGATGTCGTTTCGCTACCAACTGAGGCGCCTCCAACCACAGACGATACTGGGTCTCTGGCTCCTTCCCACGCCAGGAAACCATCCGTATCCTTGACTGCCAAACCATCCTCGGTCAACATCACAATGCCTCCAACCTTGTTTTCCATCTCGAGACAAACACTCGAAGATATTGGATATATCAGAAAGTCACTCGATGTTTGGGTTCACGCAAAGAAGGGCATACTATCGGATAAAACACTCAAGCGTCTTGCTGGTCTTCGGCCTGACACAAACGCAATCGACAATCCACGTGGTTGGTGGAAATATGCCGCGGAAGCGACAATGGCACTCATCAAAGCAGGACGGAATTTGGACGCTTCTACCAATGACGAAAGAGAAAATGAAGCCAACTCCACAATAATAACAACACAAACAAGTCTCGCAAAGAAGAGGCAGTCAGGCTGGATACGGCTGGCCCGAGCCTTGGCCGCCAGAAAGCAATACGTGGCGTTGTACAAAGAATTCTTCTCTTCTTCAGACGAGCATGAAAAGGGCGAGAGACATGATACGAATGTATTTGGTCCATTCATTCCACTCGAGCAGAGACGAGAGAGGACGCATCAATCCATATTATTGCTAGAGGATCAACTTACTGTGCACGAAATCTCCGCCTTTCGCATTGCTGCATACAAGGAAATGGCCCAAAGTCACCAGGACGAAACCAATGACGCTGCATCTCCCCGCTGGTTACACAATACCGATAGCATTGTCACCAGCCACGAAACCACTTATGCTTATCTCACCATGGGTCACCGGTACCAAATGTTTGTGGAGATGGCACAAGCCCTTGACACAGAGACATTGAATACAGAGATACTCAACAAGGAGATCCGGCAGCGAGATGCACGAAGTGAACAAAGGAACAGTACTTCTCCAACGCCGGATGTGGCTTTCGACCCAACCGTATGGAAGGTTGCGCTGTCTTGCACCGAGTTGTCTTTACAGGTCAACGATAAGCAGCGAACAACGGCGAAGGAAGCTAGCCCAATTGCCCGGCTTTCATGCGCTTGTGTGCTCGAAAGTGATCTTTTCCTCACTGGTTCATGGAAAGCCGAGTGGTCAGTAGCAGCATTGGCAATGCAAGACCTTACCGACATGAGAATGGCAGAACTGAGCTCCTACGGGATGAAAACGCTTATTGGACCCAAAGTTGATTCCTTTGGCAAATCCGACCCCAATAGGGGAATTCTGTGCATTGACGGCGAATCTTTTCAAGAGAACATGCGCGTCAGTGTTTCTCGTACAGTTGAGTGGCACATGGTGGAAGGGACAGCTCGTCAGATTGCAACTGCAACCGACACACGGGTGCGCCTATCGCCTTTGGAAATTGTGTACTCAACAGTGCCATTTGAAGCCTTAAGCCGTGTACTGGCCTCTGTGAAAACTCCAGAGCTTGCAGACGACTATCATCGCATGGCAGGAAGAGTCTACGAATGGAGAGAGAGGCAAAAGCGCAGACTTCTTCAGGCACTGGCACACGAGAGCAAAAAGATTTTTGTGTTCGTCGATATTTCTGCTCCGGTGTTGCTCATTCCGGAGAGCGTCTATCGCGCAGATAGCCCCCTCTTGGTTCTCGATTTGGGTCGCCTTCATTTCTCAAATGCGACAGATGCAAAGAAAGCGGATGGGGACTGTGGCGTGCCGGGGCAATATCATGACGTCTGGAGTCTCGCTCTGACAAACATACAGGTTCAGTGCTCCACAACACAAATTTATCGGCAAAAGGACCTTCAAAAGGATCTTTTTGGTGCTTCGGGGGGTACGTCCACCAAGTCAGAACGAGGGCCCCAGCAGGTCGTGGAAAACTTTTCGCTTGACTTTTCAATCTACACAAAAGTAGCACAAGACGAAATGCGAGTGAAGATCTCAGCGGTGCTTCCAAAGTTGATCTTCAACGTCACCTCGTCGTCTGTGCGGTTGATCAGTCGTCTTCGTAGCCAATGGTCGCAACGAAAGCAGGAGATGACGACAAGTGATGCCCCAAAGCATCGGAACAGTTCTGTCTCAGAATTACCCACCTACGAAGACCGTGGTGAGAAAGATTTGACAAACAGCGAAAACAAGGAATCAATAAACGTGAAGCAACACTTTGAGTTTTACTTTTCAGCACCGACAATATCCATGAAGCTCGCAAACGACGCTGACAATATCCCGACTTTTGCTCAAATTGCTAGGGACGTTGCCCAGGCTGACAATCCACATGTAAGAGAAATCGTAACAGTTTCGATCCGCGGCGTTGGAGGCAGCTACGTCCTATCATCCGAAGGCAGCAGAATATCGTCCACGCGGTTTCAGGCCAAGTTGCATTCGCTTCATGTTCTTGATCATTATCAAAGCGCCGGCAAAGATTTCGAGCAAATGTTGTCCTCTTTCGATCCCAGCAACGCAGACTTGAATGGCAATCGATTTGAGACGCCCACGCCGCAAACTGGGAAAGATCTAGTTTCGGTTGAGTACGAATCGGTGGAGGAGCCGGACACTCTGCCGCCCGAAGCTCTATGCGACACTCTGTCCATTCGATTTCACGAGTTATACGTTGAGTGGAATCCTGAGACCATTGCAGCAATACAGAAGGCCCTGCGAACTCCCAGGGACCAACAAGAATATGACCAAGTTTCCAGCAGCGAGAATGCATTGCTTGATGAATTCTTTGATGCGGAGGAAGCTCTTTCTGGGGAGGATGCTGACGAGGTTGATGCCGATGTATTCTTCGATGCTTTAGAGCCTGCGTTTGTGGACGCATCGAGTCCATTGGCGAGACTGACACGGCAAACCACCCTCGCTCTCCTTTCGTCTCCTGCAACAGGGCAGAATGAGTGTTCAGTTGGTCCCGACAGGAGCCAACCTGATGATCAAACTTCCCAGAAGCCCTTCGAGATGATTTTTATGTTGACAAAGCTACGGGTGAACTTCAATAAGGAGTCGCGGCATCGCCGCTTGTTTGCTGCTGAAATGGATCGAACGTACATAGCCCACAAAACTCTTCCTGGCAAGTCAATTACAACCGCAAAGCTAGGGAACCTGGTTTTCTCGGATCCTTCCAGTGATGACAACGAGACACTCTATGCTCAGATCCTCGGCTTGCAGAATTCCTTCACGGGAACTGCAACGTCGCCCCTTTCGTCGCTACTGGAAATGGAACTTGTTACGGTCTCGAAAGAGAGACAAACCGTTGCACGAAGAGGGTTCAATGGTCTTGTTGATGTAGCGTCCCGTGGTGTATCCTTGTGTTACGAAGACGGCTCTGTCCGTGGTTTTGACATGCACGTGAGTGCTCACCTTAGCCCAATGCGCTTTGTCTACCTCTCGCAGCTCTGGTCCGAGATTGTGGATTTCTTCTTTGAGGGTATTCTGGGTTATGAGGTGCTGGGCAGCGAACGTCCTTCCACGACAACAAACACTCCTGCTGAAATCGAAGATCATATTGGAAAGACAAGTCTGCAGGAGAACAATACGATCGACGATGATCCCTACGGAGTCTCGTTCACTGTCATTGATATCGTCATTGACTCGCCCGAGGTGGTGTTCCCAGTCACATATCGATCTCCTCATTTCTTGAAGCTTCAGGCGGCATCCATCAAGTTGTCCAATTACTTTGAATGCAAATCAAGGAGCTACGAGATTGCACGGTGGCACAATAACTACAACATTTCCTTCGAAGCTCTCCGAATATCAAGTTGGAACGGATCCGAAGTAAGCCACTCGAAGAAGAAGGTTGGAGCCGCCATCAACGTTCGCTGGCCGACAGGACCTTGCGCTCCCTTGGAGGATCCAAAGTGGAATGTCACGTGCAGGTTTGAAAGCCTTGACTTTATCTTGAGCAGAGATGACTATGCACTGCTGCAAGACGTTATTAGTTTCAACCTTGGCGAGGAGTCCAGGCATCTGTACGAATGGCATGCACTTCAAGAGCTGCATCCAGACGAGCTGGAGAAATACAAACAGAGTATCATGGTGCACTATGGATACGACACAAAGGATGTTGCACCAACAACCTATTCAATTTCACTGACAATACCCATGGTCAGTGTCAAGTGTGAGACCCAAGGTGGTTCATGTGTTGCCATCGCTCAATGCTCGAACTTCAGCTGGAAAATGACAAAGCTAGCAGACTGTATATCTCGTCAAACGGTTGATTGCCACATAAAGTTGGTTCACCCCACCAAGCTGGAGGGGGGAGACGAGCTGTTGCTATCCTCGAAAGGTGCAGATTCCCTTCCAGCATTGACATACGCATCAACAACCGACGCGTCTGGGAACCACATAAAATCATTGGAGATCAGAGACTCTTGCATATATGTGGTTTATCCTGCCTGGACGGCATTTGCAAACTTCTTCTCGGAGCTTCCTGCAGCCGAAGTGTTTACCCCGGAGCAAGTGCGACTGTCGATGCAAATTGGTGATCGGTGGTACAAAATTGCAGACTCACCAAAGCAATCAGATACAGAAGCGTCGCCAAGGCAGTTCTCATGGATCGGGAGGGAAGAGCGCTACTCTGAGACCACAGAAGGAATCCCTGAAGATACAGAACCTTCCTACCAGTTCCGTATTCTTTTGTCCTCCCCGCACATTATAATCTCGTCCTCTCCAACTGAAACGGAAACCATCAGCTTGGTTCTTCGTCTAAGCCATCTGGACTACCTTTACAAGAGCGACGGTGACGGAACGTTCACAAAGTCTCTCTTTGTTCATAATCTGGAGCTATATACAAGCGCTGGAGCACTTAGCGGAGACGACGTTAACAGTGAAAGCCCATTGATTCACCCTTGGTGCTTTTCAGCAACACAGTCAAGCTGCACCAAACAGTTTTGCAATTGTGATGCTCACTCTACGAAGGTTGCTTGTGATATCCTGCAGGCCAGAATATCATACTGTGATATGGTCAATGTGGTCAACGTGTGCCTTGGCTTCGTTGCTGATATTCGCCAGGCAAGAGTCCACGAGACTGCTTCAGCAGCAACTACCTCGACTAGTCAACAACTCAATGAAGCAGGAAGCATTGAGGTTGATTCAAACGATGGTTTGTCGAAGACAGAGATGGAACCCAGAACACCGAATTATCAGTTTTTGACTATCGATTTGAACGGATTTGAACTACTCCTCGTTGACGACAGTGGGCGCCAGTTTGTAACATCTCAGGAACTCATCATGTTTTCGGTTGGAAAGATACTTTTCTGTCGCGAGGACAACTTGTTGCAGTTGGACCGAGAACTCCAGGAACTGACGACGCAATCCAAGTTCTCTCGCCGAATGGTATTGTGCTTGCAGGGTGTCGATCTTCTAGACTGTTTGCAACCAGACCAGTCACAGTTTCGGCTTCTTGCTACTAGCCGGTGGGGCAATTTTGACGGTAGGGAAGCAGATGACACACGGGTTTCGATTTCTGAGCGCATGAGTTGGGAATCCTTCACTATGCAGAAAGCTACGTGGGGTTACGAGGTGTCCAAAAGTCTTACTGAAAGGACAAACCCTGAGTGCTTTGTAGATCTTTCGCTGCACTCCCAAGACCCCCTTGACGCTGTGATTCTGCGCAGTTTTGAAGACGGTGTGAACTTGCGGTCCTACTCGGTGGCCATATCGTCGTTCATGATGCAATACAACCCAAGCACAGTGATTGCTCTCCAACGATTCGGGGGGCGGTTCAGGAAACAAGCTGTGAAGTCCATTGATTCCTTCAACGAAGAAATCGACAAGCTTATGCAAACATCTTCTGATTCAGCAGAAGTCATGGAAGTACCTTCAAACGAAAAGATCAAACTAGATGTCGAGGTTGAACGACTGGCTTTGTGTTTGAACAAAGAGCACCAAAACCGCCGCTTGCTTCGTGTTGTGCTTGAAAACTGCACAGCAAATCTGTCGAGCGACTCATCGGGGATGTTATTGGAAGGCGGTGTCAAGGACGTGAAAGCTTGGGATTGCAATGTCGAAAATCAACAAGTCTCTGACGAAAACCTGTGCATTCTCAGGACTGCATCGTCAGACGATGAATTTGACAATCCACAGTCATTTCTCGTGTACCGATTTTGCACCTTTACTGGTCCCACCAGCGGTGAACGCCACGACCTCGTTCCACCTTGGCTGCGTTCGCATGTCGTCGGGAGCGATGGATCTACTTGTGAGATCGACGATTTTCTTGAAGTTCAAATGGGTACGGTCGAGATCACGTACTTGCGGGAAAGAACCGAAGAAATCATTGATTACCTACAGCATGGTCTGCCGGGCAAAGGGATGGGAGCAACATCAAAAGCTGCGCAAGGCTTCATTGAGAAAAGAATTCGTACCAAGAGTTTCTTGCTTATTGGCATCTCATCCCCCGTTATAATGATCCCAAGGGAAGAACACACGTCGAACGGGATGCAGCTACGGTTAGGTGACATTGACGTGAAGAGTTGGTTCGAAGGAGGGACTGCGACCGGCAGAATAGACGAATTTGAGTTATCAACCGGTGAGAGGCCAGTTCCCCAGAGAGACAATCTTAATGGCCAAGGTCAGTCTGACTGGTGGCGCATGCTCTCGCTTCAGATTTCACACTTTACGGCAGGAGTGTACGAACACAATGGCACGTCGGGTGTGGATGCATTGAATGAACCTCTTGACGTGTCTCTGGTGCTACAGAAGTCAGCATGGCAGAACAGAAAAATGTCGCTACGATGTTGGGTTTCGCTCGTCGAAATGACAATGAAGTATTCACAGTATTGCCTGCTGAGTGCAGTCGTTGATGGAAACGTTGGGAAAGATATTGACAAGGAAAAATGGGACAACATCGAGAAAGCCTATGATCAGGAGGTCGAAGCTGAAGGACACAACAATCTACCAGTCCTGCAACCCAGGCCTGTCGAGTATGCTTCTGGGGCAAGGCATGTTAGGTTTGGCGTTTCGTCGAAAGGGGAACGTTCGCCAGGCCGCTCTCGCCAGAAAATACCAAGTGCACAGGACAGAGAGGGCATAGTCGACTTGCAAGTGACTCTTGATGGCTTTCACTTGAAATTCCATAGGGACGATCCGGTGGATGGTTCGTTACCGTACGATATGGCGTTGTTGAAGATACACATGGTAGAAGTTTCTATCAACAACAGCATTTCTGAAGACTACTCCTTCCAGCTTGCCCTATACCGAGTTTACTTGTTTGATCTTGGAGAGGAAGGCAGAATAGCGCGTGAGCTATTTCAACTGAAACGGAAAAATCAACGTCTGGCGGCCCGGGAGCCTTGTGCCTTTGCCATTCTCGTTGAAGGGTATTCAATTATCCAAGACGATGCCGACCCGCGGTGCTTGATAGGGAAAAAGGGCAACAACGAGCCTCAGTTGGTAGTGACTGTCGACCAAGTCCCTTCATCGTCGATTGGTGCTGTTGGCTCCCAGAGAAACCAAATGTTGAACGAGACTGACGATCCGAAAGTAACGGTTGCAAAGGTGGTTCTGAACTACTTGAGTGTAAACGCTCTGATCAGACCATTCACAGAATTGGCATCCTTTCTGGCTCTTTCGTGGCCTTCATCCCAACGCAACAAAAGCGCAACTACAACGGAACCGGCTGCTTCATCAAAGGTGGATGCAGCTACTGATATCGATGCCAAGAAGGAAGCTAGTCAAAAGAATACCCCAAGTACTCCCAGCAGTTGCATGCAGGTCAAGCTGACGGCACACTATCCTCGGGTCTTCTTTGTTGCTGATGAGTGCGATCCGCATTCTCGCGCATTGGTCTTGAGGGGGTAAGTACAACCTATTTGCACCGTTGATATTCGCTGACATGGCGAGCCCTCACATATTGGCATTGAAACGGAAAACGAGCATAGGCTGGCAGTTGTAAACGCCGGTCGTACAATCAAGCGCTCGCCTGAGATTTTATATCTGGGATCGCACGGAGAAGAAATTAGCACGGAGCTGGTCGTTGATGCGCAGCTACATAGCTTGGAAAGCTACATTAACCCGGATGTAAACAGAGCTCTTCGACTAAAAGAACGACATCACTTGCTTCTCGAAGGCTTCAACTTGCCTTTGCTTTCTTTCCTTGAAGAGAGCAACGATGAAGAGCCGGACTTCGACTTTGACGAACTGGGTGTTGCACTGCTTCAAGCCGTCACTGCAGGTATAGAGTACAAAACAACGAGTCGATCGAGATTTCCATCAAAGCGATTCTTGTGCGTCAATATTGAGCCAATCTCAACGATGGTCAGTTTCGAAGATCTTCAATTGCTTGAGTTGGTTTACAACCGTTGGGTGAAAGGACGTCAAGAAAGTGAAAAACCAGATGAGGAGTCGCAACCAAGCCTGGAAGCCCAATCAAAGTCAATTGCTTCGGAGCAGGGACAAATGGATCCAAGGCAATTCACCGTCGATGCTTCTACTTATGATGTCGTGTTTAGCTCAAGATACCTTGGATTGGGGCTAAGGAAGGAAGACGGGTGCATTGTGGTTGACGCCGTTGATGCCCAGTGCACAGAAGAAGTTCTAGTTGGCGACATACTTGTGCGAATCGACAGAGAGCAAGTGCCGCAAGCACCACTAGAAAGCATTGTCCAGCAACTTGCTGCTGCACAAAGGCCGCTTTCTCTTACGTTCAATCGACGAAATGCGCCAATACTGAAAGATACCACTGCGCTTGCAACCGTTGATTACCAAGTTGATGCAGGCGATCTCGACGTTGCGACAGAGAGCCAGAGCCCTCCGTGCTCCCAAGGGAACCAATTCACCATTGTCTTCAAATCCGGGATACCAAATGGGCTTATATTGGAGCAGAGCTGTCTTGTGTCGATCCCAGTCGTTTCCCACGTCGATCCATCATGCGCCTCAAGGGCCGTCCTCCCAGGTGGGAGTTCCCAGCATCCTGTCTCGCAACGTTATCCTGTGGCTGGATTGTTAGTTTATCAGTTGAACGGGCAGGATATCACGGCAAGCAACTTCTCAGAAGCCCTTGGATTCATTCTGATGAATGGCATTTCCGAAGAACCTTTAGAGCCAAGCATGAACGGGAGTGATTCATACGCAATAACGTTTATGGAAGTTGATTCAAGCAGTTGGGGCTATTTGGACTCCTTTGATCTTTCGCTTCAAGGGGCGGCTCTGGCATTCATCGACGACCTCAATGGAAAGGACATGCCCATGTTGAGAGGAACTCTGAGTTCTGTTGAAACTCACCTTCGAAGTGGTGTTGGTATTGAAACAGGACTTTTGGAAAGGATCAAAGAGCTTCCTTTCTTAGCGCAGGAGCCCAGCAGTGCTATTGAAGACCACAACTCGGTTTCCCTTAAGGCACTTGCTCGAACCACGATAGAGTACTTCCATCCAAGAAAAGCCCTCTACGAACCCTTGTTGGAGCCAGCTCAGTTCTGTCTCAAATATGATTGCCATAGCGGTGATGAATCGAAAGGTCACCCAAGTCAATTGGCGCTGGAGCTTTCTGATGGAGCTTCTGGCACGGGCGATGCGCATGTGATATGTCTCAATGTGAGCGTTTCATCAGCGGAAGTGATAGCAAAGGCTCTACGTGAGTGGAAGACGTGGCGAAAAATGGTAGAAGACATGTCGACTCTATCCTTTTCGGACGTTTCACAGTCTTCCATCCGCCAAGGCATGGCAGATCCAATGACTTCGGGTAAGGAAGTGCTTCAATCGAGCTATGCTGCCAGCGTGAAAGACTTCGAAGCCAGCGCGGCGCAGGCTGCATACCGTTTCGCACAGAAGCGTGGGGCTGAAAGAAGTGGCAAGGGCGAATCGTCGAAACCGTTTGTGTTCCAAAATAGGACGGGCGTGTCAATCGCTTTTGTCCAGGAGAATGCCAACGAGCAAGAGTCTCATAGTTTCAGCAAAAGGAGGAAACCACAACGGCAATCGGCGTTCGTTGGGGAGTATTTTGGTTTAGACAAGTACGATCGCTCGGACATTATTGAATTGGCGGATGGTAGCGATTCAAAGTTTCAAATGGACTTCTTGACGTCGGCTTTGAAGCCTGAAGAGGCCACAAAGAAAATCAGGACGTATGAGGGAAAATTTCCTTCATTGAGGGTAGCCATACAATCCATCGCGGGCGTCACAATTGAAACATTGCTTGATCTGCAAGTACAGCGTGCTGGCAGCTGGATCCGGAGTTTGTCTGTACGAAAGAGTATGGAAAACTTCTCGGTCCCTATTTTGTGGGAAGTCAGAGTGGAGGACAACCGGCGCATTCTAACACTGAGCAGTGCAGTTCGCATCGTGTCCTTGAATTCGTCCGTAATTGAGGTGGGTGTGAAGGTGGCGTCTGCCACTCACCTCGACCCCGCGGGAAATTCAGATGTCGATAAAAAACGAACTCAATCCAATGGAATCGGCACTGTCGGCACTATTCAATTCGTTGGTTCATCGCTCCCTGATTCTCCGTTCTACCTGCCTTTGTGGCTTGCCATGAGATTGGAAAGTATACAAATCTATGTTCGACCCAAGTTTCCAGGCCTCGCCCAATACCGCTGGGGGCATCAAAGCGTGCTCACACTTCAGCTCAACTCTTTGAAGTCAACTCCATTCAACGATGGAACAGAATGGATCTGGAAAGAAACGTTAGATGAAGCCTTGGAGTCTATCCAATGCGAGGCCAAGGATGAGGACAGTCCTCCTGCTTTTCTGTCTTGCTTCACGTCAAGCCAAGTTTCAAGCGACCTGCAATTTTTCCAGGGCAGCGAATCAGAAGGGTTTGTCACAGGTGTGAATGAGATTCTGTCCGTGTCCGTGGATACCGGACTGTCGATTCGCAATCTTCTACCAATTGGAATTGAGTTTCAGGCGGGGCATACACTGGGTAATGGATCCCCAATGTATGAGGAGGATGTCTCGAGTGGCCAGAAGGTAGATGTGGTGTCACGCTCGCTCAGGAGCGGAGAAAGTGCAGAGGTTTATGCTTGCAACTTCAAAGCCAAAGAAACGCTAGCAGCGAGGTTCAGAATCAAAGACGAGAACAAGTGGACGGCATGGACGCTGGTCTCTTCACCCTCCACAGCAATCACAGACAGTGAGCCCGATCAATCCGAACCTGGTATTGCCAAAGAAACGAAAATTTCCGCTTTCCAAACTAACGTGCACGTAGAAGACGACTTTGGTGTTCCGATTGTCATTGGTGTGCGGGTTATTCCCAAGGTTGCCAAAAAATCTGATTGGAACAGATCGAATATCGTCTGCTACGGTGTAGATGTGGTGGTGTACGCGGAATTCTGGATCAGCAACCTTACCTCTCTACCTCTCGCATTGTGAGTATGATTGAAATCTTGCGCCTGACCAGGCTTTCTTTTCGAGCGATCGACTAACAATGGTTGTTTTCGCAGTGGCTGTCCTAGACATCAGATCTATGAAGACGGCAAAGATGATGAAAACAACGAGGACGCGACAAAATTCTCTGCAGAAGCTGCTCTGATGGAGATGGCGTCGGTCTTGGAGCTTGGCGAAAACGGCACTGAACTGGATACCCGCAATGCTGACCGGGCGGCGACAGCAGGAGACACTCTGAGCATCCCCCACCAGGAAAGTCGGTTCGTTTCAGAGGAAGTATTTGAATACGAGGAGCTGACTCAGCAAGCGTTGATTGTGAAACGCCAATGGTTTGCCGCGGAGAATTACTGGAACTTGCTCAATGGCACAATCCTTGAAGTGGAAGACGGAGCGTCATGGCAATGGTTGGACCATTGCTGGAAAATCGACACGGCTGGTGGGACGGACGCAGCATTGGGTGGGTGGGAAAGCTGCAAGGACCTCCTTGGTGTCGGGGATGGTCCTTTCTCGGCACACCGCCAGTTCGAGTCGTCGCATCCCTTCCGACGGCGGAGGTTTTTCCGGACTAGAGGGCCGCGCGATGAGCCCGAGAACGGAAAGCTTCTGCCTGGACTCCAGGCATTTCATCAACCCATCCGCGATTCTTTCTCGACCGCACAGCTCAAGGCAAGGAAGAAAAGAAAGAAGCGAAAACGCAAAGGCGAGGACCCTGATACCTTGGACGAGGAAAACAAGGTTGAAGTCCAGACTAACAGTACCTATTCAATTTCTGTAAGGTGCGGCGATGGAAGATGGAGCGTCCCAGCCACGGTGGCCTCCATTGGCAGCAGTCATGGAACTCTGCAAGTGTTTGCTTCCCGATGGCCCTCACTAACCAATATTTTGGCGAGCTCTCCGGTTGGCAACCTTGGCGGTATGGGCAGCACTGCCCAGGATCCTTCAAAACATACTGCTGTTGCCTCGCATGAATATGGGATGGCCCCCTTGAAGCCGACCTTGTATGAATTGTCGTATCAAGTGTCAGACATCGAAGGGGAATGGGGGGATTTCTCTAGACACGTTTTGGTGTCCGCCCGCTTCTCAATGAGGAACGACTCAAAGGATGTGACGCTGGAAATCAAGCAATCGGGAGCGAGGAATGATAGTGCTTTGCGGTTGAAACCAGGAGAAATTGCCCCGTTCTATTGGGCTGATTTCCGCTTGCCACGATTGGTATGTGTTCGACCTGTCGAGGAACTTTCAGACACGAAGGTTTACAAGTGGAGTGGTGGTTTTGATGCCTGCAAGCTGGGAATGGCAGCGGTGTTGATCCGTCAGGCACCAGAGTGCCAGCAGAAGCAAGCTTCCAACGACGGCCGCACGATTAGAACAATCCGCACGCTTGTTGAACTACGTCCAGGCACTGGCGGCACTGGAATCAACATCTCCTTCAAAGACGAACGCGAGGACGGCGAGGGCGCCCTTTTTAGGATCGAGAACAGGTCTTCTTTCAGCGTATGGCTGTCACAAGATGGGGTTCTAGCAGATCCATCTACAACAGGACCGAATGACATTCATTGCAGAGACGGGGACCTCATTTCTCCCGGTGAATGCAAGTCCTTCGGTCTTGACGTTCCGTATCGCCAGGGAAAATACGCTCATCGTCAGGCGGCCACAATGTCTGAACTTCTCCATATCAGAGTGGGCTTGGCTCCTCTGTCGTCTCGGGCAGGAATCGAGTCAACGAAAGTAATCGGACTTTCTATCGTGGGGGAAAGCATAAGATTGAAGCCATTTAAACTGGTGAAGGTTCTGAGCCTCGAGCAGCGCAAATCCCTGGAAAACGTTCGCGTGCTTGGTATCACAACAGCGGACGGGCCCACTCGAGTGCTTAAATTCTGCATGATGGCTCTCCCAACAATGGAACCATCCCTGCAGAGTGTGCTGAGGGATTCGGTTTTGTACGAACCACCGACAGAACCGTCACCAAGCGGTCCGTATTCTCATGCAATCGGTCAATCTGCTTCTGTAGCCGAATCCCTGCTGTTGGCAGGCAAACTGCCCAACGAGAGCGACGCAAAAAGACAAGCACTTTTCGGTGGGCAACGAAGTAAGGACGGGCTCGTTTCGTCGACTTCCCCAGGCGCCAAGGGAGAAGAGCTAGAGTCGACGATAGCTCGCGCTGATACGCGATATTCGATACGCGTCTCTTTTGGTGGCTTCCTCATCAGTTTGATCGATTCATCGCCTTCCGAAATCTGCACGATCTCAATCAACCATATCAATGCAATGGCAAAATGGAACAACCAGCGAACTTCAGATGCATCATTCTTGATGTCGATTGGGTGGCTTCAGGTTGATAATCAAATACCGAGCGCCCCATTCCCGGTTGCACTCTGTCCAGCTACCGATACGTCGCATGATGGTGAGAAACGGGATAAGCAGAAGTCAGAGGAATCAAAGGCGCCAAATGGGACTCCTCTTCTGTTCGTGGGAATTGAATTCGCGCCGAAGCATTCCTCGGGTATTGTCTGCATAAAATCAGCGACTATCGCGCCCAGAAGCCTGGAGGTGTCATTAGATCTGGCTTTCCTGGTCCGTCTGCAACGGTTTGTGTCCTGCGTTCAGGCTCATTTTCAACAAACGCAAACGCAAGCGTTTGTTAGTGGCGAGGATCTTCAACAGGGCATGGCCAGCCAATTGCAACTACAGCGAGCGACTCCGCTTCCCGACCTTGCCAAGACCATAGAGGCTATCAAAAATGCCGTGGCCACTGGAGTGGGGCGTCAACAGGTTTACTTTGGAGCTTTTGCAGTCCTGAATTTTACCATTTTTCTCTCAGTCGCTCCGGCTCGTGCCTTGACTGCCGCACAAGCAGCAACAGAAGGCATGGAGGCAGCTGCAATTCACAAGGCTGTGCGCAAAGGAGACTTCAACCTTGGAAGAATCACTTCCTCCCTTGGCGTTGTCGTCGGCAAAAAGAATGTTACAGCCAGAGCGGTTGCGATGGGAGTAATGAAATCCATTGTCGTAGACGCTCTGATACGCATGGACGGCGCTTCTCTCAACTTGTCCGGAGCCTTTCTACGGAACCAAATTTTTTACGCTCCCCAGCTAGCAACCTACATGTCAGCTCATTACATGTACTCCATGAGGCAAAATGTCCCCGCAATGCTTGGGAGTATGGCCGCTATCGGGAATCCGCTGGGCCTGTTCCGTGGCATCGGAGACGGCGTTCACGACTTTGTGAACGAGCCCGTGAAGGGCTTGAAGAAGTCCATTCAAAAGCTCGACCCTCAGTACATGGTCGATGGTGTAGCTCGTGGAACGGGGTCTCTTGCGAGACATACTGTTGGTGGGTTCGCCGATTCGGCCGCATTATTGACGTCAACCTTTTCCAAGAACATGGCAGTCCTCACACTGGACAGACGCTATGCCCAGAAACGTGATCGAGGGAATCAGCACCTTCGCTACGAGGATCATGAGTTTTTCATTCTTGCTGGTGTTGAGAGCGGATTCGTGAAGCTCGCTCAGGGTTTTATCGAGGGCGTGACTGGTGTGGTTAGAGCTCCCATTCGAGGAGCCGAGAAGAGAGGCTTCGAGGGGTTCGCCAAAGGTCTGGGCAAAGGCTTGCTGGGGCTTTTGGTAAAGCCAATGATTGGGATTTCCGATGCAGCGACGGACGTGTTCATTGGAGTCAAGACTTCTGTGGAAGGCGGCGAAGGCCACCACATTGCTTCCCGTCCCAATCAGGTCCGCCCCAGGAGGGCGCTGTACGGGCGAGATAAGCACGTGCGGTTGTACGACCTTGGTGATGCTGCTGCGAGCGCCCTCATGTACAGGACCCGTTTGGGCGGACAGAGGTTTCTGAGTCATCTGGACATGCACGATCGTGTGGCTCTGTTGAGCGACAAGAGGCTGCTTTTACTGGACTCTGAAGGGAAGGAATTGCTGTTGGTTAAATTCAAGCACATATCCAATGTGGAGGTGCATGAATTTGAGCAGGGCTCCTGGAGCATTCTGGTGATGCTGAACTCACCTCGAGAGAATGGGAGTGAGGTGGAGGTGATCACTTGCAAGGACCGGCAAGAAGCTCATGAACTCTGTGCCAAAATAAAGGAAGGCATGAGCCTGTTGGATCAGAACTGAATGTACTGTACTATATTGTAAGCAAGATAATGTGATGTACTCTTATCACTGTACCCCAACCCCAATGTCTGCCTGCTGTCACTACGTCTCCTTATCTGTCACCTACTAGACGGAGGCATGCTACTCCAGCCAGGGGAGAAGCCATGGCACGATGGACTCCTGTTCTGTTCCTCTTTACACTCTTCTTTGCAATTAGCTAGCTAGATACATACTTAGGTTGCTGACAGATGTTCGGAACTAAGGTGGCTAAAACAGGAAGCAACTCATTTCTATCTTCTTTGATTCATTACTAGATTTATGATGATTGAAAGTCGATTTGCGGAGAGGCGCTGATTACCCACACCTTCCCACAAGATCACACCAAACCGAGAACAAAGCAACTCCACTCTACTAGATCTTTATTTGAGCTTCTTCTTGGGGCGAAGTTGGCTTGTGTGTCCACACTTCTTCTTGCGGCAGTTGGTGGCCTTAGGGGGAAGACGAGCATAGCACTTTCTACAGATGGCTTTCTCGCAGTTGAATGTTCGGGCAAGCATAGCCAAAGAAGGATCATAGACACCTCCTCTCAATCGGAGAACCAAGTGCAATGTGCTCTCCTTTTGGATGTTGTAGTCCGACAGGGTTCGGCCATCTTCGAGCTGCTTTCCGGCAAAAATCAAACGCTGTTGATCAGGAGGAATTCCCTCTTTGTCCTGGATCTTGGTCTTCACATTGTCGATTGTGTCCGACGGCTCAACATCGAGCGTGATGGTCTTGCCCGTCAGGGTCTTTACAAAGATCTGCATGATCCCCTTCCTCTCTTAGAGTGATGTGATTGCTGTTGTTGCTCTTGTCGCTGTTGGCGTGTGCTACCAAAGCTTTGTCTGGTTCATTCCATTCTCTTGCGGATCCCCAACGCTGACCCAGCACGACCGCATTAGTTGAAAGCTACGTAAACAACACGTAGAAAATTAGTAAGCGGTAGAAGGATAAATTAAAAGCGTCAGAGCTGTGAAAATATTTTCAGCCTGGGACGTTTGGGTGTCAATCTTTCACTTTGACCCAAACCTCCGGTGGTTGTAAAGTTTGGTACATGTACTAGTATGCTGACAGCTACCGGTATGTATAATAAGAGGTTTTTAGTTTCGTACTACACCGTATCCAATCGAAAAGAAAGAAACAGAATGAATTCAATCTGGCTGTTTTCGGTTCACCTCCTTGTAAACTTGATCATGACATCTTCCACCGGATGCATGACACCAACATTCGCTGTTCGTTTGTCCGCTTCCGCCATTGCAAATGTGTGCTTGCCAACAATTTCCATATGAAACTTTCTAAAGAGTACAGCAATGTACGCCTTCGTTTCACAGGCAACAAATTTTCGACCAGGGCACAATCGTTTGCCCCCGCCAAAGACCCTCAATGGTTCGGCAATAGTCTTTCCGTTCTTGGAAAAGCTAGGTGGCTGGCCTGTTTCCTGGTTGACTACAAAGCGATCGTATTGAAAGGTTTGTGGATTGGGGAATATATCCGGGTCCATATAGGTGACGGCTTGATTGCCCACGATGCGTGTGCCCGATTTGAGGAGGAACTTGGGGCTGTCACTCTGCTTTGGATCGAAAATGACATTGTCGACCAAATTCTTCACGGCAAAGGGCCAAGCTCGAAGACGCAGTGTCTCCTTGAAGGCCGAATCAATGAGAACACACTTGTCCAAGTTCTCTAGAGAATAAAGGGATTCCTCATCACCATCGTTTGTGTTTTGCGAGAGAGGTGGCAAGGAATCCACTTCCTTTTGGATCTGCTCGTAGGCGATTGGGTCTTGGAGGACAAATAGAATGGTCCAAAAGATGGCCGGTGCCGAGTTTCCGACAGATGCCCAGAACAATGATAGATTGATGCGTGCAATGGTTTCCTGCTGGATTCCATGTTGGCTGCCAATGCGGATGCGTTCCTTCATGAATGGTGAGCAGTTTTCTTGGAAGGATTCCCTTTGGAGTAGTTGAACAAACATTTCTCGGGCAGCAATGAATTTTTGTTGTGTTACGTTTGGTGCATTGGCCATGGCAAGTGGAATGCCCCGGTCTAAATCGCGAAAGGCTGCTAGGTAGTCCGTGTCGGCCATGTCCTTTCCGACAAATGGTTCAACGGATGCGAGAAAGATGTTCTCCTTGACTAGCTGAAATAATGCATGCTCACCATCTGAGATTTGGTCGACGAGATATAGAAGGATGCTTTGCGCTTTTTGGACCGTCTCTTGGATGGATTGAGTGGCAAGAATATGGTTTCTGAAAGATTCTTTGGATTGCTTGATCCAACCAGGACTGGCATGTGCCTTATCGATTTCTTTCTTGTCACACCCCATGGCCTTTTGCAGGAAATCCATGGCGATGGACTGTGTGTCAAACTGTGGCCAGTCCTTGAACACAAACTGTGTATGGAGTGGGTCCCCAATGAAATGACAAAGCCTACCCATGATGTTCGCCGAGAAAATGGGAGTTCCGCACTTTTGGGTATACTTTTGAATGAACTGAAGATGCCCCAACTTGGACATTTCCAAGGCCGAACCCACGTGAGGAATCCAGGAAGAAACATAGGGAGGCTCTACCACATCATCATCCAAGGTTTTCTTGGCAGTGGCACGTTTCTTGTACAAGTCCAGCACCGCAATGGTAGCGCCAATGACAACCACACAAGTCACCGCGACAGCTTTCGCTTTCGTACTGTTGGAACTCTTGATATCCATCTGCTTGGTCTTTCTTCTCAAACGAAACGATTGGGATATTCAGACTTCTCAAGCTTTGTGGTTGCTTCTTGCCTGAGATGTCTAGCACATTCACAGCAGTCCACAAGTACCGGTATCAGGGTTGCGGTCGTTGTTGCAACGGTGTTGGGTATTGTGGTGTTGTTGTGGCTGAGCATTCTGGATGGGTTCTTGCATGTCTGAAAAGATTTTGGATCTGCTAGCGCTAGCTACATGTAGTACCGGTACGGTAGTCAAGTGACTCGACTCAGTTTCAGTCACTCGACTACATGTAGCACTCGACTAGCTAGCACTCGAAGATGAGAACCCGCACTTCGAAGGGCAAAAGAGAAATGAGAAAGACTGAATAGAACGCTCGAAACCACCTTCAGGATCAAATAGACACCGTCGTTGCTACATGGTACCGCCAGCTAGACAAAAGAGTTGCATGAAAGAAGGAAAGAATGTTGAGGAATAGCGTTTGTCATTTGCCCAGTAGATTCTTAGTTTCTGCTCGACGATCCTTGGCGACCACCCGGACTCTGCCAACATCCACTGAATCCTCAAGTCACCAACAATCCATCAGCAGTACCGGTTCCCTTCATTGGGTGGGAGCTGCCGGTCTTTTGACTCTCCTGTCCTATCATACTTCTAGTAGAAAAAGTAACAAGGAATGTTCCAAATGCCACGGTGCCTCCATTTCTTCCTCTGAACAACGCCAGCAATGGATGGCATCTCTCAAATCATCATTTGTGGGCATCGACGAACAACAATTGCCAGAATACACTTTGGAGCAAGTGGCGCAACGAAATGGCATTCATAGCAGTCACATCTGGATGTCATATGGTGGGTTTGTGTATGATGTGACGGACTTTATCCCTCTGCATCCGGGAGGGACGGATCGCATATCCCGGGCTGCCGGTGCCGCTATTGAGCCATTCTGGTACCTTCATCAGCAGCATTTTGACACCCAAGAACCTGTGGAAATACTGAAAAAATTGGTGGTAGGAAGACTGGCGGAATCAGATCAAAGAGTCGTTGATGACAAGCTAGAAACACTTCAGGAAGAATTGGAAAGTTTTCACCTAGAGCTGGATGTTTCCAAGTTGGATAAGAACAATAGCCCAACCCCAACCAAGCTATCTTTGAACGATCTCAAGGCACTTCCCAAAACTGACCGCAAGAGCCAAGTGGGATGCCCCAACCAAAACCAAAATCGACGCCCTGTCTCTGTTTCTCTGTTCGGGGGGGTACAATTGAAACATATTTTGGCGGCGTCAACCAAACACACAAGAGTTGGTAGAATCGTCTTTCATGCCATGGACGGGGAACAATACACTCTGGAAATCACTGGCGACACCAAAGAGTCCTACCAAGATATCCTGGTTTGCTACGAAATGGATGGGCTCCCACTGACCAAGAGCCGAGGCTTTCCTCTACGGGTAATCATCCCTGGCAAACGGGCAGTCAAATGGGTTGAAAAGATTGAAGTCCATCCACCAAGCAGATAGGTGGTTACTACCTTATTTAGTTAGGTTATCTTCCAGACCAGTGGACAACTTGCGCCTACTGTCTCGTTTTACGATTGCTGAGAACAGGCAATTATTGTCTTCTATTTAGTTAGACCTAGGTTTCAATCACATAGAAGAAGGCCAATGGCTGTCTCTGCAGATTATCCCCCGGCTGCTTGGTACGGCACCGTTGTAATATTGTGAGAATTGCATCAACTACAGTACGCTATCTTTGCTCAGCCGATGTCTGCTTTTAGAAACAACTAGCTATGTTCTACGGGTTAGGATTTCCTTTGCCCAGTCTGTCAGCTATCGGGACGAATGCATCTCCATCTTTTGGAGTGGCGGGTAGTTCTCCCCGGATTACATAAGCAAGAGTGTCAACAACTTGTTCTGGTTCTTCGCAGACAACGTTGGCTGATCCGTTCACTTCTTTCAGCATGTGAGACAATCTGTAAAAAGCGTCCAAATATATGGTTTGAAGAGGGAGAAAAGAGTTAGAAAACAATTTGTATTATACAAACCAAATTTGACAATCGATATTTTGTCTTACGCTGGCGGATGCAAGGTAATGATGGGTTTGCCCAAAGCCGAGGCGAAACCAGCATCAAAAGCAGCATTCCACTGTCGGTACTTGTCCCCGAAGCGCACCACCACAATATCGGCATCTTGGAGTAGTGTCTTGGTCCGAACAGCGTTCATGTTGGCTCCAATTTTATCCCAGTTGGGTCTTTCTTCTTGCATCCCTAAGATAATGGCGCCACAGTCATCGCTGTCTTCATGGGAAGTGTTGGGGCTGGACAAGGATACTGGCAGATCCTTTTCGGCGACACCCTTGGCAATCACTTCTCGCCAGTCCGAATGGATTTCGCCTGACAGGTAAACCTTCCATTGCTTCTCTGTGGAAGAAAAGCTTCGTGGGGAAACTCGTCCCAGGGCGGATCCTCGGACGCAACGGCGCAAGTTTCCTGCAAAGAGCGCCATGGTCGACTTTTCTCAGATTGAACTCGAGGTTGCAAGGTTGCAAGAGGTGATGAAAAATGACGTCAGTCTCGCGGCACTGGAAACTCGAAATGACACTGGAACATTCCATGCTGTTCTTGCGACCAGACCTTCACTCGACTGAGTCGAGTGACAGTCGACTCGACACCGCTGACACCGCTGTGTACGATACGGTGCCTTGGCTCTACGATAAAAATGAGGTGCAAACTTCCAAGGAACAACCTCAGAACAGCTTTCGGAACACAGATTGATTGATGGATCCCAATACCGGTACCATCCCAACAGACTGTACCGGTCTACCGGTGCTTTTATAGCCCCTGGTTGATTAAAAGACTGAGAGAAGGCAAGGATGGATCAGGCGATGGATCTGGATCTGGATCAGCAGCAACATGACGACGCGCCAATGGACAGCATGGCCATTACTTCCGAAGAGCGACAGTGGGCTTTGGCTATCAAGCAAGCTGTGAGTGAATCAGAAGAACTGTCGCCCATCAATGATTTCGATTTGGTCCAGTATGCCATGATAACTCAAGGAAACACCGAAGAAGCATTGGCTCGAATGGAAGGAATGCAATCGTTTCGGGAGCACTATGACATCGACAACAGTGCCGAGCAAGGAGTCCGCTGTCTCCAGTTGGCTATGGATCTACTCCCTCGATTCCTATTGCACTTGGACAACTGTCCTGACACCAACGAAGCCATTCTCGCCTGGGATGCCAGTGTCTTTTACCCCGACTTGGTTCTAGCACCCTGTAGTCAAAGAGGAGCGGATTTTTACTGGAAAAATTATGTCTCGGCTAGCTACTACATGTACTATTGCACTCAACCCAATCTGGCATCGATACGGAAAGGTCTCACTCTTTTGTTGGACTGTGGACAAGTCGAATGGGAAAATGTTTCCATCGATTTCGAAAGACGCATGCACGATGAGCTGAGGGGATATTACCCACTCAAATGGAACCAGCTATTGGCATACAATACAGCATTCATTGCCAATGTGGGGTGGGGTCTCTTCAAGCAGTTCATGAATCCACATATGAGAGAAAGCCTACAGCTGGGATGTCAGGTGTCGGGGGCAGATTCTTCCACACGCCTTTATGAGCTCTTCTTGCAACCATCACTGGAAGGAGCCCAAATCAATATTCTACGGAGGGCAAGAGATCTCCTCTTGATGAGAGCTCAAAACGCCCAGTCCTTCACACTGTAACTAACTTACTTATTGGGAACTTGCATAGATGACTTACTTACTCAGATATCCATGGAACTGACTGCAGTACGAGGGAAGAGGGCGGATTTAGTTTGGCTTTTCTCTTCGTTTGAATGGCTGCATGAGCTTGCCTCTCGCAGGTAGAGGCACCTAAGTAAGAAATGCAGGAGGAATGGCCGGACTGCATATACTATATACTATCGGTGGCATGTACCGGTACCATTGACACCTAACCAGAGCATTTTACATGTAGCTCCAACCCCAACAGAGTTGACACCCTAAGAACCAAAATGGTTTGGTCATGTCTGTTGAGCGGTAGAATGAGGATCGGGACCATGGAACGCAACAAAACCGCACCAGGCAAGACTGACCGAGTGTCACTCGTTCAGCGCCGTGCTTGGTTGCAGGCAAGCACATGTGCGGTACAAGAAGCAAACTTCTCTACTCTGCCTCTCCATTTATTTTACCGTCGTGGATATCCTTCAGTGATTGCAATTGGCTAAAAACTTGGTCTTAAAAATTAACAATTGTCGTCGCAAGGTTTCCACCCAACCCTGCGGTAAGTTACAATGGCAGGGAACGTATTTGCAAAACACCACTAGTGCGGTGGTAAAATTGATCTAAGCGGTTTCTTTGTCCATGGGGGCGATTGCTGGGACATCGACATCTTCCATGATGGTTCCCATGATCTTTCCTGTGACGAGATAAGGATCAGCATTGGATGATGGACGACGATCCTCAAAGTATCCCTTGCCCTCAGCTTCTGTGTCACGTCCAATACGGATAGATGCTCCACGGTTGGCAACACCATAGCAAAATTGATCAATGGAGGCAGTTTCGTAGGCACCAGTCAATCTCAATTCATTTCCTTCACCATAAATAGCAATGTGTTCTGCGTGCTTGGCTCCAAGCTTGTAGATGGCCTGCTTGATGTCCTCGAGTCCACCCTCTTCACGCATTTTCTTGGTGGAGACATTTGTGTGCATACCAGCTCCGTTCCATTCACCTTCCACAATGGGTTTGGGGTGGAGTGTGCAGTAGACTTGGAAGTCTTCGCAGACACGCTGCAAAATGTATCGGGACATCATCAATTGGTCTCCAGCATCAATTCCAACACAGGGTCCAACTTGGTATTCTTGTTGACCAGGCATGACTTCTCCGTTGGTTCCAGAGATGGTAATTCCAGCATACAAGCAAGCCTTGTAGAGGGAGTCGGTGATCATCCTTCCAAAATTGTTTTCGGGGCCAACACTGCAGTAGTAAGGACCTTGCGGGCGAGAAGGCATACCTCCTTCGGGCCATCCAAGGGGAGTCTTTTGATCCAAGTTGAACAGAGTGAATTCTTGCTCCAGTCCAAACCAAACTTCTTGATCGTCGTTTCCTTCGAAAGATTCCATAGCTGAGGACGTCCATCAATTTTTTTTAAAAGGCCATCAAGGGTGAGCAAGACACATTTAAAAATCCGGGCATTTTGACCGAAAACACAAAAACAAACAAAAAATAACATACCCTTGGCACGTGTGTTGGATGGAATTGGTTCTCCCTGGGGAGTGTAAGTGTCGCACATGACCAAAATATTGTCAACGCCATCGGATCGAGGGCGGAAAGGATCTTTGAAGATGCGGCAAGGACGAAGGATAACCTCAGAGTCATCTCCAGGAGCCTGGTCGGTGGAGGATCCATCAAAGTTCCACTTGGGCAAAGAGTCGACAGATTTTGCCTTGGAGGCATCAAGAGTTCGGGTCTTGGAGCGAGTGTTTCCAACAGCATCCACCCACACATACTCAGCAAGGATACAGTCTTTAGGGAATGGAAGGTCAGCATATTTTGCAATGACTGCAGGATCCAAAGAGGATTGTCCCGTTTGATCTTGCATAAGCGCAGCATTGAGGGCAGTGTGCTTCTTGGCCGAGAAGGAAGGAGCAAAGGCAGTGGCGCCAGAAGCGGCCATGACAAGGGCGAGGGCGTTGACAAACTTCATGGTCAATTGTTTCTAAAAAATAATTTCTGATGGATTATCGAAAGAAGAAAAGAAAAATAATGGGCGTAAAGATACTTTTACCCCCATCAACCACCGGAAGATCTTGGTGACAACTTCACGCAGCCATCCAATGGAAGAGAAGGGCGATAGCTTCACATGTTCCGAAGCAATGCCGGAAGCAAAACTTCCCAAGAATCAATCTGACGTCAACCCTCGCAAGCACACGGGCTCCGGAAGTGCTTTCAAGACAACCTTCGTCCCCTTTGTCCAATTAGACAGCCCCTGAGCTCTGACAGCCTGCTGACTGTCACTCGACTGAGTCGACTCGACTCAATCACCCTGACTTACATATGCCTCCCACAGAATAATGCAGCTGTTCGTGGGCTGAAAACTGTGAGAATGCACTTTGACCATGGCATTTTCGAAGGGGAGTATTTCTCTGTCTCCAATGTTGCATTTGTTGTGGTTGCTAAAATGAAATTTCCTGCCACATCAGAAATTTCATGTGGTTTCTTAAGCAAAGGGTCCTGGATTTTAAGCCAATTTTAGTGAAACAAGTCAAAAAACACAGCCTTTGGCGCTGTGGTATTTTGTTTCCCTGTTCCACTGGAGAAGCATTGAATTGCATTATCCGTCTTTTTGTTTCCATAGATTTCGTTGCTTGGGCCCGACTCTTCTTTGGCCAGCAGCCTTTCTCCTTCTCCTGCAACTACATACAATACTGTAGTCCACCCTTGGTGTTTGGCAAACAGCTGCAAACCAAACCCGTAGCAGCTCCCGTAGCGTACGAGCACGAAATACCGGAAAAGAATTTCGTCTCCCGGAGACGATTTGCTTTTAGGGGTAAGGGTACTTTTGGGGAGTGGAGGTTTGAATTATACCCCGCGTGCATTACTTAGAGGCCTCTGTAGAAGTCTACGTATTCGACTAGTATTGTATTGACGGGATACAGTCAACGCATGTACATGCACATGAAAGTCGCCTTGCGTTCTTCACATGTTTTGCATGAATGACGAGGGAGCAGTTTCGAGGCTCGGGGCGAAGCTGAAAGGGATGAGCGCGCGGAGCGCGCGAATACTGTTTCAATAAAGGGAGTTAGGTGTTGGTAATAAAAGATTTATGGAAACGGAGACGACCCAGGGGGCATATGAATAGCTTGCTCCTAGCGACCAGAGAGGCGGTCGGTTCATTTGTCATTCAGCTCAGTCAACTTACTGGCACATCCACAGTCCACAGCAATCAGATCTCAGAGTTCATATTATTAGTACAGTAACCCACTACAACCATCCCGAAATCAAGTCTCAACTGCGACTGCATTCCTCGTAGAACCCCGATAACAGCCTAGCTATAGCAGTGGCACATAGTGATTGTGTATTGTTTTGTTTCATCTCTCCATCAAAACTGTTCGTATCCATCTCAAGAGCTACCCAGGCCAGGCAGGTACTGTATCATCCAGCCGTAACACAATTCCTGTGAGTCAAGTCGAGTCGAGTCCTCAGTCTCTGTCCTCACCAATGATTCTCAAAATGTAAATGAACATGTTGATAATGTCATTGTATAGGGTCATGGCACCCAACACATAATCCTTTTCACTCATTTGATACTTGGCATGTTTTCCAGCTACAATGAGCCTGGTATGATGTGCCAAGTAGAAGGAGAAGAGTGTTGCCCCTAGAAAGCTGTAGATTGCATCGTTGTATGGCAAAAAGTTGGCCGGAATGACGTTGAACATTTGCAGCATTCCAATGATACCATAGAGGAGGAATATCATGGCAACTCTGATGAATGCCGTCAATTCAATTCAAAGAAATGACGTATGTGAGTGTTTGCGAGCGTCACTATGAATACATACATGAATGCCTGAATGAATGATAAACTTACGACGATAGGCCAGCACCCCACTGTGTCAAGTCATATTTTGGATTTTTTTGCATGACAGTGTAGACTGAGACTGACATAGTGGCTGCCATTGTGGCCGCCATGGCGGATATGACGGACCGGTAGGCATAGAACGACGACACAAATCCCACCGAGATTGCCTCTCCCAAAGTGAATAGTCCGAGAAACCACCATTTCATGGGTGCCTTTCGGC